TTTAGACGTTTGTAGCTTTTGAGGAATTAGTCCCTTTTATCTAAGTTGTCTAATTTATGTCTGTAGGCTTGTTCATAACATTCCAGTTTTATCCTTTCAGCCTTTATCTACTGTAATATATCTCTTTGATTCCTGATATTGTTATTGTATGTGTTTTCTTTTTCTCTGTCAGTCTTGCTAGAAGTTGATCATTTTGATTTTTTTCAAAAACCAGTTTTGGGTTTCATTGGTTTTATCTGTTGTTTGGTTTAAATTTCATTGATTTCTGCTCTTTATTTTCTTTACTCTTCTTGCTTTGGATTTATTTTGCTCTGTTTTTTCTTGTTTCTTAAGGTAGAAGGTTGCATTATTGACTTGAGACCTCTTTTCTCATCTAAACATTTAGTGCTACAAATTTCTAAGTACTGCTTTAGCTACATCCCACAAATTTTAATGTGTTATATTTTCATTCTTGTTCATTTGAAAATGTTTTCTAGTTTTCCCTCAGACTTTTTCTTTCACCTATAGATTGTTTAGAAGTGTTCATTTTTAATTACACTGTATCAGAGAACATACTTGGTATAATTCCAACTCTTTTAAATGTATTAAGTTTTGTTTTATAACTCAGGATATGGTAATTGTTCTTTAAGTACTTAAAAATGTATATTCAGTTGTTGAGTGTTCTATAAATGTCAATTAGGTCAAGTTGGTTGATGGTGTTGTTCAGCTCTTCTGTATCTTTGCTGATTTTCTGTCTACTAGTTTTATCTATTACTGTAGTTGTGGATTCATCTATTTCTGCTTTCAGTTCTGTTAGTTTTGAAGCTCTGTTATTAGGTGCATACACATTTAGGGGTGTTATGTCTTTTTGATAAATTGACCCTTTTATAAATATGCAATGTCTCTTTTTAATCCTGGTAATTTTCTTTGCTCTGAAGTCATTTGTCCAAAATTAAAATAGCCACTCCAGCATTCTTCTGACTTGTGTTTGCATGGGCTATCTTTTATGATACTTTGTCTTTTAACCTTCCAATATCACCATATCTAAGGTTTCTAGTAGATCGCATATACTTAGGTCAAGTTGTTGTTGCTGTTGTTATCCATCCTCATAATCTGTGTCTCTTAATTGACGTGTTAAGACTGTTTACATTTAATTTCATTATTGGTATATTTAGGTTAAGGTCTACCATTTTATTGTTTGTATTCTGTTTTATATCCCCTCTCAGTTCTTTTAGTTGTCTCTTTAAACTTTTGTTTCTCCTTTCTGGCTTTCTATTTGAATTTTTTTTGTCCATCTTAATTTATGTTATGATTTTGACTGTATCTAATTGTACAATTCATTTTAGTGGTTGCTCCAGGAATTCCAAAACACATATTTAACTTTTCACAGTCTACTTAGAATCAGCATTTTACCACTACAATTGAAATGTAGAAACGTTACAAACATATAGGTCCCTTTACCCCCTATATCATAGTTGTGTTATACATTACATCTACATACATCGAAAGCTCCATCAGACAGTGTTATAAATTTTGAATTTCAACTGTCAGACATGTTTTAAAGAACTCAAGAGAAGAATAGTCTATTATATTCAGCCAGCTATTTACCATTTCTGTTGCTTTTCCTTCAACCCTGATGTTCCAAGTTACCTTCTGGTATCACTTCCCTTCTGTCTGAAGATCTTTAGCAATTCTTTTAGAGCAGGTGTACAGCCTATGAATTCTCTTAGTTTTCCTTATTTGAGAATGGCCTTATTTCAGTTTCATTCCTGGGAAACATATGTCCTGAAAACAGAATTCTGGGTTGACAGTTCTTTTCTTTCAACATTTTGAAAATGCTGTGTTGCTTCCTTCTAGACACCATGCTCTGTGGTGAGAAATCTATAGTCATTTGGATTGCTGTTCCCCTCTAGGTAATGCATCATTTTTTCTGGATGCTTTCACAATTTTTTCTTTGTCTTTAGTTTTCAGCAGATTGATCAGGATGTGTCCAGACATGAATTTCTTTGGGTTTAATTATTTGGGGTTTTCTTAGCTTCTTGAATCTGTAGGTTTATGTCCTTCACCAATCTTCAGAAGTTTTTAGCATTGTTTCTTCATATGTTTTCAGCACTGCATGCTTCCTCCTCTCCTTTTGGGACTCTGAAGACACAAATGGTACATCTTTTGCTACTGTTCCTTAAGGCTCTGTTGATTTTTTTTCTATCTTTTTTCCCTATTTTCCAACTGGATAATTTCAGGTATTTTAATTTTCAGTGATAAAATTACCATTTTTTTTCCTTTGTACCTTGTTTCTTTGCAGATACTTTCTACTTTAACGTTTGTTTTAAAAATGTTTGTGACTGCTTGTTCAGGCATATTTAAGGTTTTTGTCAGATCATCCCCACATCTACATCATCTTGTCATTGGCACATGTTGGCTATCCTTTTCCATGCAAATTGGCAATTTCATGGTTTTTCTTTTGCCAAATAATTTTGGATTCTATTCTGAACATTTTGAATGATTTAATGAAATCCTGAGTCTTGTTTAAATCCTATGGTGACTGTTAATATTTTTGCTTTAGCAGGCAACTGACCTGGTTAGGTTCAGACTGCAAGTTGCAACCTGCCTTCTATGAGCTGTGGTTACATGTCAGTTCAGTTTTAAATGCCTCCACAGTACTAATCTGATCTGAAACAGGTGTGTGTCTCTTGGGGGCCAGCCTGGAACCTCAGTGGGGTTGGAGCTATTTATTAAGTCAGTTCTTAAAGTTTTTCATATGCTAATTAGGATCAGATCCATGCACACACAGGTTGAAAGTGAGTGAGCCCAGGAGTCCATAAACAACTTTATGGTTGCTTTCCCAAGCTCCTCCCTTTCTGTGGTCTCCCTGGTACTTCCTGGTTCCCTGAGACTCTCCTTTCTGAACCTCTGTCCAGAAACCATCCAATTCCATGACTGTGCCAGGCAGGACCAGGTGGCAGGAGAACAGACAGAAAAAAAGCAATGGGTTTTAGTTCTGTGTGCCTAGAGCTCTGGCTCCCCTCAACAAAGAGGCGGGTTCTCCCTTGTCATAGTTTTGTCTCCTACATGCCCCTGTCACCTCCTGCTGCCCCATGGAATTATCTAGGGGCTGGTGCAAGAGAAGGGGGAAAAAAGAAAAAAAAATGAGGATGGGCTTCCCCCTCTCTCTGAGCTTCAGGAGTTTCCTTTCCTGCTCTGGGAGCTAGAACTAGGGGGTCTCTCCTGGAGCTCTCCCTGGCAGCACGCACCAGAGCGCTCACTTCTGGTCCTCAGGCCACACTGAGTTCAGACTACGACATACCACAGGAAAATGTGCTAAACTCACCACTGGCTCAGTGGTACTTTGAATCCTGGTGTGCTTCACCAGTCTTCCCACTGCTGATATTTTCCCAAGTATTGAGACAGTTGTGCCATACATCTGTCCAGGACTTACAGTTCAGTGGGAAGAAAGGCTGGTGTGTGTGCTTACTCCATCTTACCCAGAACCCCACTCTTTGCCTAGCTGTTTTTTACTATGTGTCAGATATTGTTTGTACAAGTCACATGAGGCCTGGAATGATGATATTCCTTCCTGCAGAAAGGACTTTCCCTAATGAGGGGCTGACATGCCCTGAGGTGGGTTCCTCTCTCTGCAGGCCAGTGTCCTTCCTCTTGATAGCTTCCTCTTCTAATGCAACGCTTCAGCAGGGCCACCCATAGGGCCCCAGATTCTAAGCCCTGTTCGACAGCCTGGTGAAGCTGCTGAAACAACACAGCCTCTCAGCTACTCCTGCAGAAATGGGAGACATGCCTGGGGAAAAGGAGCCCAACCTGGCTCACATCCCGTGCCTCCATCCTCCCCGGACCACGGCCGGGTAATTCTCCACTATGTTCAGACTTCGAATGCCTTCACACAGATGATTTTTATAATTTGTCCAACATTTTTCATCATCCTCAGTAGACTGTTAATCCAAATTGACAGATCTGTCACCAATTTTTCTTTTTTTGTATTAATAGCAAAAGAAACCGAGTCTAAAAGATTTGCTGAGGTCACTCAGTGCATAGATGAAGGAAAGAGGTTTAACTCTGTTCTTTGAACCCTACACTACACTGTCTCCTTAACCTCTACATCATACTAAAAGTTAACTTTACTTTTATAGGAATTTATCTTATAACTGGGTATGTGTGTATTAAAATCCAGAAGTAATACACGAACATATTCTTATTTTAAAATGGAATCTTGCATGTAAGGCTGTTTCTCCCTGATCACTTAGTCCAGTTTGAGCCCAGGCCCTGCACCAGAGATCACCTTATCTCATTTATGGCTTTGTTGGGATTTTATTATTAGCCTGACTTTTTCCCCATGGGAACAAATCTCTAAAAGATAATGAAAGTCACTGGAAACACGTGATACAAAATTAAAATTGACTTACAGATATTTTTCATGAATGTACCACAATGTTAACTCAGGTTATATAATCAGTAACTTTTCACTGCCAACTGAAAGAGGATTAAACCTTAAATTTGTTCAAGTGACTATTTTCAGCCTCCCAAAAGACCATAAAATCAAGATTTAACTGATAGCCCAAACTGTAAGCTTGCTGGTATCTGTATAAGCAGGTGCAGGGGGAACCAATGCACAGTGATCACTGTGTGGACAATTTTAAATCAGTCTCAGTGCTGAGAGGGACTCCAGCTCCCCCTCAGTAAAGCAGAACCAGCAGGGGTGCGTCTGCTGCAGGTGTACTCCACATAGAGAAGGGAGGAGGAGTCACCAGATAACAGGGGTGAGAAAGGGCAACAGAGCTCTTTAGCACAGACCTGTGCAGCCACCAGTGTCACCTGCATGGTGGAGATAAAAGGGCAGGCTCCAGAGTGGATGCTGCCTTGACTTGGCTGATTTGGTGGAAAACAGGGACAGGGATACAGTCCCGTAGGCTGCTCTGAGTACCGGCGACGGCGCACACCCTCCAAGTGATCTGCAGGAGGCCTATGCGTTACCTGGGGCAGGGGCTCACGGGGGCTCTGGCCACTCCTACCTTGGCTGGCTTCTGGCTGCAGGGAGCCGAGAGGAAGTGGGGGCGAAGATTCAGGGGCCTTAGGCGCCGGGTGCTCGGCCACTGGACAGATGATAAACCACCTCTTCCCGGTGTGCAGGACTGCAGGGCAGGACAGACACAGCATGCTGAGTGAGCGAGGCCAGTGTGACCCCCACCACCTGCATCAGACTTGCCACAGGGGGATCTGGGGGACTTAGTTGTTTGGGATTTTTGCCAGAACAGATATAGGCAGAAAACCCATTTCCCAGTCATAATCCTAAATAGCTTCCCTCCCCGAAGCAGGCTGCCCTGGGCCCCTTGATGAGGGGCGTCCATCTGTTCTTCTCCCCCACCAGAGGGTAGGGGCAGACAGCCAGCCTGGGATGTCTCATGGGTGGCCCGAGATCTCAGGAGTGCCCCTGGCCCCACCCATGAAGGCACTGATGCCGGTCAGCAGGCAACAGCTCCTCAGATGGGGCAGCCGTCCCCAGACAGGGAACCCTGGTCACCACACCCACCCACAACCCTCCCCAGTGCAATGGCTGAACCCCTGGCTATATGCTCAGTGGGGCTTTTATCGAACTCCTGAAAAAGAGAGGAGGAAAGTTAAGGAAATGCTTCTTTCCAAAGGCCTGTCTGCTCGCACGAGCACGGCCAAGATGGCAGACTCACCGTTCTGCTGATACACAGGGGCGTTGGCTTGGGACTGCCTGCTTTCCTGAGTGAGGAAAAAGGGCCAGAAATCAACCCACTGAGCTGCAGTGCCCACCCGTGCAACTGCCACGCTCTCGCCACTTCCCACGTGCACTTCACCCTCTCACCTCCCCGGCGCCCAGGCCACAGGTGCCGAGGTGCGGCGGGCTGGCCCCCGGGTCAGAGCCACGGTCGGCATCTGTGTCCTCACTGAGCATGTCCTCTGCCTTGTCCATGACGTCCTTCATCTGCTCGATGAATGTCTCCCGCTCGGCCTGCAGGATGAAGTCGTGCTCCACCTGCAAATGGATGCACAGCACCGCTGGCGAGGACCTGCCACAGGGCTGGGGTTGCCAGGCTCTTTAGCAGGGATTCACTGATTTCTACCCTCACTAGGCCCCAGGGGAACACACAGTGAAGGGACATGGTCCCCGAGTCAGGGGCTAGACAGCTCAACGAGAGAAGCAGACAGCCTCAGGAAGGGAGGAGAATGGCGTGGCTCGAGGGTAGGCCTCCTGAGCACAGGACCCAGGCCACACTGCCCTGCTCCGAGTGGGGGCTGGTTGCAGACCCCAAGGCCAGTTCATCCATCGGCATGGCGGGTGGGTACACTGGATGGAGGGGGCCAAGGACTGGGACCAGAAGGAGGGGAAGGGGGTCTATCTGGGACACAGCCACCCAGGTGGTTGTGAGAGACAAGGTGGGGCCTTGGGGGCACAAAAGTATCTTCAGGGACAGCAAAGCCATGTAGCAGGATGGCCACATGGCACCTCTTGGTGTCTGCAGCCCCTTGCTCTCCCATCCTCAGCTTGTGGCCTTCAGCTGCGGCCTAGCACACAGGTGGGTGTGGCCATCTCCAGCGAATAGCTCCTGCCATAGCCAAGGGGAAGGTGCTGGTAGGTCCTACACTGCAGCCTGGACACCACACAGCTTCCAGGCCAGGGGCTCAGGAGGACATATCTGCAGTCCCCACCTCTTGCTGTGGGCATGCGGCCCCCCAGCTCACATACTGCTCCAGCTGCGTCCGCAGCCACTCAGGCAGATAGGACACTGTGCATCTCAGAAAACCATACAAACAAGGAAAGAGGACAGCATGTCCTCTCACCCAGTGAGGTCCACTCCCCGACCCTTTTCTCCCACCCATGCCCCTCTGTGGTCACTGAGATGCCCTGGGGCTTGCATGGGGCATCCATCCTCTCAGGTCCCTCCGGGGCTAGGTCCATCTGCCCCTCAAGGAGAGCAGAGCTCCCCGGAGCCCCCAGACACCACCCCCAGGAGTACCACTCACACACCCCCAGACGGGAGCTGGCTTATGCTGTGTTTGGTAGTCCACCTCTTAACTTAGTGCAGTGTGTGATTTCAATGTTGGCTAAGAGGAGTATGATACAGTCAAAGTTGGGGAATCCAGCTGAGATGCAGGTGCCATGTGCAAGAATTTAAGCAATATTCCAATTTCATGAAACTTTCACTAAATGAAACTGAAGTAAACCCCTTAGCAACTGGAAAATTGTTTTCCTGTTGGCTATGTATGTCTTTTTAAGTATACTGAGATTAAAATTAATGTAAAAACAAAACAGAGAAACCTAAAAAACACAGGGTCCAGGTACAACCTGGGATCAATGGCAGTTAACTCCAAACCTCTACAGCTCCTCCTCCACGCCAGGGGTCGGTGGGGGGTCCTGGGCAGGACAACGAACTGAAGGCCCTGCCCAGCCTCTGACAAAGCATTTAGGGACCACTGGCTCTCCATGCTCAGAGGAAGACAGTCCATATGGTGGGGAGGAGCTGGCCAAACACCCTTTTACCTGCTGTCCCTGAAGCCCGTGCATCCCGGGGCTGGGACAGGTGAGAGAGGGGCTGGGGGACGCGCAAGAGAGGCCTCACGTGGACAGGCGCTTTTATGGATCAAATTTGCGTATTTGCATCACGCTTACTTCATAAAGGTATCTTGGATCACTTGGTTTTAAAAAGATGAGAGAAAAAGCAATAAATTGAGAGGAGAATCAGAAGGTTGAGTGAAAAAAACTCAAAACTCAAAAACCCTGATCTGACGCCATTGTTTACAGAGCTCGCAACCAAGTAACAGCTGCATCCCTTTCTGTGCGGGGATGTGCGTGTGCACGCGTGTGCACAAAGACACAAAAGAAAACTATTAAAAACAAGGGGGTGCTGAACGCACAATGCAAGCAGTGACAGGGACAGGATGGGAAGCCATACCTGGCGGCGTGACAGCCAGAGTCCCAGTGACAACCTCACAGACATTCATTTTATTATGACGCTTCATGATAAATGAACAGGTATGGATGAAGTAACATGAGATACACAGCAAGACATAGTAAGGTGAGAGAAGGGGAGTTCTACCGTTTCAGCGGCTGAGCGCGGACCTTGTGTTTGTTCCTGTTGCACCCAAGGAACCAGCTGCTCACCCCTGACCCAAGCACAACCAGGCGCCTTGGACTCTCCCCTCGACCAGGCTCTGTCCTGTCCTCAGCCTCACCCAGCTGTAGCAAGTCCCTGCTAAGTGAGTACAGTGAGGATCCCCGGCTTCCACGTCTGACCACATGGCTCAGCCCCACTCTGAGGCCCAAGCTCTGACCTGGATGTCTCCTCTGGGCTATTTTCTAACCACCGCCCCCACTCTGCTCCTCGGCTGTCAACCCGCACCTGTCTCTGCTGCATTTGCAGTTGTCTGTTCTCTCTCCCACGGCCATAGATCTGAAAAAAGTCTTCCTGACCGTTTCAACAAATGTTAGAATAATTTCTTTTTTAATGCTTTGAGGGACTGTGCCCTGGGCCTGGGCTTCAGGAGGGGTTTGTACAAGGCGTCTCCATGGAGCAGACACTAAGGCTCAGACTTGCCCCAGCAGAAAGCCAGGGCTTCCCTTGCAAGCCCAATGTAGGGACTTAAGGAAGCCGGGGCAGGGGTGGCCGGGAGGACACAGTCCAAGGGGGCAGCTTCCTTTGGCTTCTAATGCAGCAGCCACCAGGCAGGTGAGGCAACTCATATTACTGAATCAAAATCCATTTAACCTTCTGTGTCCCGGTCACGCTAGCTCCACTCTGGGCGCTCAGTGGCCATCTGCAGTGAGGGCAACAGCACAGGCCAGCGCTGCTGGCTGCTTCTTTAGAACCCAACTTCTCAGGCTTCCTAAACTTCTCAGGCACAAACAATGGGCTGGGAAGAACGTCCTCCCAGGAGGGGGTCACAGATGGACCAGTATGTTCGGGGAACACAAGTGTATCCTTTTCTCCTGTTTCTTTGTGTGCTTTCAGCTGGATAATTTCTGAGGGCCCGAGACCCCCCACCATTCCTAGCCTGGGGTCAGGTGCTGGGGACACTGTGGGTCCCTGGGGAGTACAGGTGAGGTGTCACGGACTTGGGGCAGTCTGCATGGGCAGGGACGGGTGGCTCTGGGCAGGGGAGCAGGCAGAGCTGGGTGGGGCGGGGGTGGGGAACAGGCGCAGGGCTCTAAGCAAAGACCACAGGACATCAGACTGTGAGGACGCAGCCTCTCTTTGCTCACTCAAGTGACCTGCCCACAAAGCCCCTTCTTTTATCCTGAGGGGCAGACTTAGGTTCTCCAGAACCCTTAGGGAACATGGTCTTGAGGGGGTTATGAACACATGCTTCAAGTTGTCCTCCCACACCCGAGGGGTCTCTGCCGAGCGTGGGGAGGAGCCCGTGGGGCCCAGGCTGCAGGGAGCCAGCACTCACAGTTGAAGACCCTGGGCTGACCAGCGCCCCCATGCAGGGCCAGGCTCTGTGTGGCCTATGGTGCTCTACTCGCCCCCGCACAGGGCCAAGGAACATGGGGAGTCAGCCTGCCACCTAGACCCAGCCTCACCATGTACGTGGCAATCTCGTCAGGCGCATCCCCATCCAAGTCAAACTTGAAGGTCACCATCTTGTGGTTATGCGTCTCCAGCTGGCACTCCACCATCTTGTCCCCCGTGTTGCACACCTGCGGGCACCAGCACGGTCAAAACTCGGAGGACGTTGCGCCCATGCATCCCACACCCCAGCCACTCACGTTCAGGATGGTCAGCCGGGGCCGGCTGGCCCTCTCCTGCCGGGAACGCGCACGTGTGGACCTACGGTGGTGCTTCCGGGCGGCCCTGCCCTCCAGCCTGCCCCCTCCAAAGGTGCCTTCACAGCTGTCACTCAGCTCTTTTCCAGAAGTGACGTCAGAACCTCCATAGCTAAGTGAAAACCAAGAACGTTAATGGCACCCACAGACGACCAACACGGTAGCTATGGTTGGGAAGGTTGGCTTCTACAGAAAACAGCCCAAAGACTTTAAAACCTCCAGGGTCCAAAGGGGGGACCTGTAGAGGCGGCGACCTCCCTGCAACAGGACCCCAAGCCCACTTCAGGGCCTGTGCCCCTTCACCTCCCTTTTGTGCCCAGGTGGCATAGGGCAGGGGGTAAGGGTTTCCCAGCTACTGGCTACATGACCTTGGTCCTCCCAGTCTCCTGACCTGTGAATCAGCCCCCATGCCTCAGTCTCCCCATCTATGCAACAGCAATAAGAACACACCAGCCACTTGGGGCTACTGTGAGGACTGGAGCAAAGCAACAAAGCCTGAGTGCACACAGTAGCCAGTGCCCCAGGGAGGGCAGGACAAATGATCGCTTCCCGTGACCACCCCTGGTAAGGACACCATTCCCTCCCCAGAACACAACAAGTGCCCATAGCCGAGAGGCCTGGAACCCCAGGGTCTGGGCTGGACTCAGCCCAGTGCACGGGGCCACCCTCCGGCCCTGGCACTGCCAACTCTCCGCCCATGGCCTCCTCCTGCTCCTTAGGACTGCAGACCAGTGCCAGACCCAGAACACGGACCAGCACACAGCCAGGAGCCTCTAACACCCTCTAACAGCAGTGGCTGACAAGACCATGAGAGGAGGTCCCTGAGCTTCCATCAGATCAGGTCTGAAAGAGGGGGCGATGCTTGTTGAAAACCCTGATAACACCAGGGCAAACCAGAGCAGGCTCCGCGTGAAGCAGTGGCAGAGCCGGGCTGAGTCGGCGTCTGGGCCTGTTCCCCCCGCCCCTCGTGCCTGTCCCCTGAGGTCAAGGCTTGGACATGGTACCTCTCACAGCTCTGCGGGAGGCCAGGTGGCTTGTCCTGCGGGGCCTGCTCCTGAAATAAAACCCAGAGAAAAGAGAACAGGTCGTTCTAGCTCCTGCTCCTCCCTGCTCGGCCCAGCCTGCCACCCGCTGTCTTCTCACTGCAGCCAGGGGAGGCACCAGTCGGAGAGGGCAGGCACAGAGGTTTTTATCTTGTGGAGACGCTTGGGGCCAAGTGGATTCCTAAAAGCTGGGGGCCACTTCCTTTCCAAATACGTTAACCCACTTTGATCATCCCTCAAAGAGGACACACTGCTTCTGTGAAAGATTCTCAAAGGCTTCTGCATCCTGTTCCAGTGAAAGCAGCCTGCAAAATCATCTATAAAAATCACGCCCTCCCCCTGGATGTGGGTTTACAGAAGTGTGAAATCTAGGGAGAGAGATACAAAGAGGCCCCATGTGCCTGTCCCACAGCCGAGCGTTCGTGACCTATAGGACCAAGACTCCAGGTCCCCTTGCAGATGCCAGGTGGCCATGATGCTGGGTCACGGGGATGGGCAGGGAACAGGGCACACACCTCTTGGGTCGGTTCCACTGTCAGCTGGACGGCGGGGCAGGGGCTGGCAATCACGGGCCCACCAGGCAGTGGCGGGTTTGCCGGCGGCAGGAGCGTGGTGGTCTGGGCAGGCACACTCTGAGCAGCTGCCACCATTGCAGGGGCCAGAGAGCTGGGGAACTGAGGCAGGAGCTCAGGGGCAGTGGGCAGTAGCACGTCCGGCAGAGGCGGGGAGAGGACAGCAGCTGGTGGCACCTGAGCAGCAACGTCTGCAGCGTAGGGAGGCGGGTGGCCAAGCAGGATCTGGGGGCACGGGGCACAGTGTGGAAGTCAGCCGCCAGTGTCACCTTTACTGAGGGGCCAGGGCTGTGCCCAGGCGTGTCAGTGAGCACAAAGAGCAGAGGACGAGGACATCCCTCTGCAATCCATACACTCCCCAAGGGGAGTCCTTGTCTCAGAGCACACTTGGTAGATGGATTTAGCAGAAACAAACAAGAATGGGCTTTCTCTCACCCCTTCTGTCTGAGAGTCTTTGCATGGAAAGGCCTAGAACTGGGCACTGCATATGAACTCCTGGCTAAGCCCGGCTGAAGGGCCACAAGGCGAGGCACACCTAGCGTCAAACCCATGTCCCGCCACCTGCGAGAGCCTGCCGGTCTCACCTTCCCAGAGCGTGCCGTCCCCAGGGTGACCTGAAGCTCAGGCCTGGCTACCCCACTGTTCTGGTCTCTCTCTAAAAGCTCATCTGGAGGGAAAGGTGAGATGGGCGGGGAACAAGGGCCCACGGATTTGAAAGTATGAGTATACTCTGTTCTCTGCCCTGGTCTGGGGTTGCGAAGGTTGAGAATTTAGGGCAAATTCTCCACCTCTCAGGAACGGCTGCACTCACTTGGGCCTGCAGGCCCTGAGACGCCCTGCTGGCACCCACGAAGGCTCTGAGATACCAAGCCCCAGCCCAACAGATGCCCCAGCGTCTGCGTTCAGAGGACGCGGTTGGGTGGCCAGCCCAGCTCCTCAACAAACTTACAGACCCTAGGCCGGCCGGACTGCAGGGACGACCAGCAAGCCTGGCTGTGACCTCCCAGGATACCCTGCGCTCTCTCTAGCCACTAACTAAAGAGCCCAGAAAGGCCACCACCAGGCAACAAGGCCCTGACACCTGCAGAGGATGCCAGGCCCTGCCTTCCTGTTCCCTGCCCCACCCTTGGCCTTCCTGAGAGACAGACCTGCCCCGTGAGTGAGCGGGCTCTGAGCTGCTGCGACACCCACTGGAACCGACAGCCTGTGCTCAGCTGGGGCAAGGGACTGATGTGCTTCCTCCTATTCGTTCCTAACCAAATGCCATCCTGCTAGCCAATAAATACGCCTCCTCCTTCTCCAAGTACAGATCCTTCTGGCAATAAGACTGCAAGAAGCAATGGCCAGGAGTGACATCTCAGAACAGAGGGTCTCACTCCAAACTGGATTTGGCACAAACTGGGCTGGGGGGCACTGGCACCCAGGGATGCTCCACCCCAGGCCCCTCCACACAGTCCATGTCAGCTGCTTTACAGAGAGGCCTGGGGCTCGAAAGGCAGGAGTGTGCCATGGCCACAGAGCTGGTGGGGCTCAAAGCCAAGGGGGCCAGGTTGGGGGGGCACCCAGGTGAGGAGCTCCCAGGTGGGGGGCATCCAGGTGAGGGGCTCCCAGGTGGGGGGCAGCCAGTGAGCTGTCACGGGGGTCTCCACCTGACATGAGGACAGGGTCCTGCCACAACCACCCCTCCAGCCAACAGCCCCATCTGCCCCAGACTCATCCCTCTATCTGCCTCATTTCCTCACCCTAAGATGGGGGTGTCCGCCCTGCCTCACTAAGGGCTGACCCCGGCAGGTACTCCGAGGCTGACGACCAGGCGTTGAGGGAGGGCAGATGCGAAGATGCGGGGCCCACTGGGCACCCCTGGGCATGAGAGTAGGGGCTCCTGGCCCTTAGGAAGGGAAGGGCAGTGGACCCCATCAGCCACCATTTCCCAAGGCTCCTGACTATGTGGGAATCGGGCCCCACCTCCCTCAGCCTCCGACACAACTCTTTCCAAGAGGGGCGACGGCAAGGGTGCCCCCTCGCTCAGCCCAAGCTGCCCCTCAGTCCCAGAGGGAGTACAGGCCCAGGGAAGGTTGTGGGAGAATGGAGCAGCCAAGAATCCCTTGCATCTCTGGTCCTAAGGGTCCCCCAGGTGCCAGGAGGGCGGCACCCTGCTCTGCAGGTGATTACCTGGCTCGCTGGCACTGCGGCCGGAGCAGCTGGCTCGGGAAGGTGGACGCTGGGCTGGAGGGGCTCGGGATGCACGGGCAGTGCTGGCTGTAGGGGGGCAGCCCGCACGTTCTGCGCTGCATGGTGAGGGGAAGGCGGGACATCGCCAGGCGCCATCTGCGGGAAGGCTGCAGGGTACACAGGCTGGGCGGGGAGCTGGGCCACAGCAGGGTGAATGGACAGGGCAGCCACGCCCGGTGGGGCCACAGCGAGCAAGGGGATGGTGGCAGACGCATTTGGCACGATGGTCTGGCAGGGCATGGCCAGGGGCGTCCCAGCAGGGTGGGGCAGCTTGACGGCCTGCAGAGGCAGAGCTGGGGACGCAGGGGGCAGGGGGCCGGCGAGGTTCGGCAAGATCACGGCCGGAGAGAAATACTGAGGCGGCGGCACGGGGGGCACATTCGCGGCCGGTAGCTCAGGGAGGGCTGGAGGGAGGCCGTCGATTCCTGCCAAGGGCGTGATGGGGGGCACAACAGGAATTGGAGGCATCTGAAAGAGACACAGGAGCGAGTCAGTGCAGTACCCTGAATGGGTGTCCCCATCCACAGCACCTGCACACAGGGACAGCCACAGTCAGTGGGGTCAGTGGGATGAGGGTAGTGCAGCTTTTTCCATCCAAGACACTCTCGTGTAGCTGCAGGGAACCCAAATGTAAACCAATCGAACAGAAACCCCAAGTGTGGGAAACTCTTCAAATAGAACAGGGAAGTCGGCAGCCTGGAGAAGACCTGCTGGAGGTCACCCTCAGCCTCAGCATGGAGGGGCTGCTCTGCGTCCCCCACTGCCCAACGGGCCATGCTGGGGGCTCCGAGGGAGTCAGGAGCAGGACAGATACTGAGGGGCCACAGTGGTGACCACAGGTCACAGCACAGTGGCTTCAAAGCTTTGGAGGATTTTCATTCAGAAGGGCTGGGACAGTCGGCGCTACCAAGCTGGCCCCAAACATCTGAAATGATGTCAGCCTGATCCCCCCGACCTGCACAAATTCACACTGAAACTAACTCCTGGGAGGATTCTCGGTGAAAGCAAATCTCTGAGGCCCCCTTGGCTGGCTGAGGCAACGCCCTCATCCTGCCCAGCCTCCCAGCAGCAGAACTCCCAAAACGTCCTGTCTGCGCCCTCTCAGCGACGTACGCGCCTCTGGGAGACGGCTGTTGTGGGATCTCGTGCATCTAGCACTTCACTAGCGCGTGCTCCTGAGCACCACCTGACGCGCTCCTCCGTGGGATCACCAGGTGGCAAAAACGCCCACATCGACGTCTGTCTGTTTGAAAGGCAACTAAATAAACACCACATCTGCCGCCGAGCAAGATGATTTATTAATAACTAGACTCTTGAGCTGAATCGAACTGGGCATGACAAGGACACGGCCTGGGCAGCAGGTGAGATTACACCAAAGAGTCTTCCAGATGGGGCCTGTGGGAACCACCATCTTCAGAGGGAAGCATAGCGCCTGTGCTACCACTGAAATAACAGCCCGTCCCCATCACCAAAGGCTTTTGAACATCTACGGTCCTCGATGCCATTAAACTGGGCCGACCCCAGCTACATTCTGCGCCAGTTCCCTACGGTCAGGTACCACTACAATGGACGGTGTCCCCACAGAAAGACATCAGAAGTCACTTCTGCTGCATCAATTGAGCCCCGGAGGCCGGGCTTCCCTGCAGTCAGCAGTGCCGCCAGCTAGCTGCTGGGCCTCCAAGGGGCGACATTCAGATGAACCGCCACCTAGGGCTAACCCGCCCGCTCCCTGTGCCAGCTCAGCAGCCACTTCGTAATTCCTGTGCTTGACATTGGATGTACCTGGGACGGACACTGAGGACAGACGGGCACACTGGTGGGTGGCTGCCGGGTGACAGGGTGTCACGCTGCCCACCCTCTCTGGGATAGTCCATCTGATACTCATAGCCCAGACATCAGGCCTAGAAGGACCAAGAATGGCCCACAAGGTTGAGGGAGAAGGTGAGGCTGGAGGGCAGGAGAGAAGAGCCAGGCCAGCTGCTAAGGGAGACTGTCACCATGCTCACGACGGTGGGTGGGCAGAGGAGGACAGGTGGCCCACCATGCTGGTGCCTGGAACGGTCCTGGTACGTGTCGCACAAACCCCATGCTGCCCAGCCCAACTCCCCCACCCAGGCCGCTCCCCAGGTCTCAGGTCACACAGAGACAGACCCCCTTGGGTGCCCTGGTACGCTGGCCAGGGCCAGGCAAACTAAGGGCTACCGACGGCAGCTGCTGGCCGGGAGGTACCTGTGGAGGGACTGGAGCGAGTGGCTGCAGGGGTGCCTGTGGCATCTGAACAGGCTTCAGCTGAACGGGGGCCACCACCTGGGGGGTTGGGGCCAGGTACGGAGGCAGGTGGGTGGGCACCGGCTGGAGGGGGCCCACGGGCTGTGGGGCCAGGACCTGTGGCAGGGGTGTCGGCTGGGCCAGCGGAGGAGGCTGTAGGAAGAGAAGAGGCTCCCTTAGACCCCCAACCTGCTGAGAGACAGGTGCACCCCACATGCGTAGACATGACAGGAAACCAACACCCTCGCATGTGCACAGTCACGTGCACACAGACTCACATGCACATACACAGCCTCGCACTCACACTTGCACAGTCTCACACACACATACACTCACACTCCAACCCTCAAACTCCAGCCAGTCTGGAGCCAGGCACAAGGCAGACCTCGCAGAAACATTCTGAGTGATCAGAGCCTTCCGTGCACAAGGTCCCATAAATGCCATATACACACACATGCACACGAAAGCCACCCCTACCCCCATCCAAACCACAGGACTGGGGGGAACCGCAGAGGACGAGGGCAAAGGGGCCATGGGTAGTGCTCACAGACCTGGGCCCCAGGGCCAGCAGGGCTGTCGCCTGCTGTGAGGGATGGTGGGCTGCAGCCACACCAACTCACCTGCTGGCTGGCGGGCGCTGGCTGGCCTGGGCCTGTGGGCACAGGGGCACTGGGCAGCGGCAGCACAGGGGCGAAGCTCATCACCGGCTCCGGGAAATGCTGCTGGAGGAGGGGAGGGCAGGCGGGGGCCGGGACGGAGCCCACCGCCAGGCCAGGCTGCGGAGAGCACCAGGCCACACTCAGCAGCTGCTCTGGGCCCAGCAGGCCTATTTTCCCGACTAGGGACCTCTTTCCTAGGAACGTGACTCAGCAGAAGCAAAGTGTGGCAACCCCTGCAGCGTTATGCATGACAGTGAAAGGCTATGAACAGCCACAGCTCCCAGCCAGGGAACAGTCTGGCACATCAACCCACAGAATATTAGGCAACCATGAAAAAGGTCATTGCAGAGGCTTTGCAGAACTGTGGAGAAAGGACTATCAGCACGAGGTGTGCTGAGGAAGACCCCAGACCATGCAGGCTCGGGCAGCAAAACCAGCACAGAGGGCGCTCAGCAGAGCTGGGATCCTCCACCACTCAGATGCAACGGTGGGGAGAAACGGGGCCCCACAGATGGGACATGACCCCCAGCCAGTGGCAGTGTGAACACAAACCGCAAATGAATTAGAAATCTGAGCGTTCAGAAAGTGGATGCCATTAAGGAACTGCTGCTCATTTGTTAATTTTGTTGGTATGATAACGGCATTGAGTTCTACTCTCTAAGAATCCTTATCCTGCAGAGACAGAAACCGAAATATTCACGGGGGACATGTCTTGCTGTCTAGGATTTACTTCGAAACAAGGGGAACCTGAGGAGCAGGCAGGCTGCTGAGGAAACAAGTCTGAACGTGGGTCCCTGACTTTGAAGCCGGGCTCACGGTTCTTCTATCTTACCGCGAGCCCACGAGCATTCTCTCCCTTGGGGTCCTCTGGATCATGTAAGCAACAGTATTCCCAAAACTGTCGTCACTCACTTTGTTTTCATAGTCGGTGCTTTATGAAAAGCAGTGTAGGGTGAAGTGGGAAGAGCAGGTGCGTCTGGGAGCTGTGCTTCTGGATTTACCTGAGACCCCCCTCCAGGCCCTAGTGTTTTTGTCTAAAGTGTCTCCGCATCACTAGGCAGGGAGACGGGAGAAAGAGCTTGGGCCTCCGGTACATGACAGCTGCACCTGTGACCACCTTGCTTGGGCCTCTTGGTTTGACACTGGGACTGGCTTCATTACCCAGGCCTCACAAGAAGGACTCGGCCCAGCGGGAACTCAGGCAGGGAGTACGTGACACGACAACGGGGAAGCCTCACCCTGGGCTAAGGAGGGATGAGAGCTGGGCAGAATGTTCTGGCTCAGCCCCAGCTTGGGTGATCCTCAAAGCCAAGAACCACCACTCTGGAGTAGCAAGTAGCCTATTTTTAAGGGAGCTCTTTCCGCCACTTAAAATCATATTTCACTTCATTTTGTAAAATGTACAAAATTGCAAATGCAAATCGCAAATGAGTCCTGGGGATCCGGTCAGCAAAGGCACACTTGGCAAATGACTTCAACTGTTTTTCCAGAGGGACTTTCTGGGTCTTTCCGACAGCCCAGCCCTGCGTGGACAGAAGGGGAAAGGGAATGTCCACAGCCAGTGCAGACAGCCTTCGTGCAGGGGCACGGCAGGGTGCCCAGCAGGACAGACGTGGCCAGAACGGCCCGAGCACCCACGCTCAGCCAGTGCCAAGAAGGCGGCCACAGCGCTGAGTGTGCGAGTGAGGACCGCGTAACCAAAGCTCCAGACAGGAGTGGCTCGCTAGGGAAGGGGTGCAGACAGACCACCCCACAAATCGCTCTCAGAGGACCCACTGCCTGGGTTCACAGGCAACTTCTCTGTGGCTAGGCACTTGGGACTGGGACGTGAGAGATTGTTTTACTTTCTTTAGTGTTAAAAAAAAATCAAAATCAAAAATCAATGCCCAATGTGACCCCAAACATCTTAGTCTTTCCCAGATCTTAGGACTCATCTCACAAGTGCAGTCATGGCCCGAGGCTCTACCACTCACGCTTCTCCGAGCAGGCTCCCTGAAAGTGTCCCCATGTCCTGCCCTGGCCTCATAGCTCTGACTTTAATGGCCATTGGGCCTGCTGCAGTGGGCTGGATGGTGATATGGGTCTCGGGTTTCATTATTACCAATGATGCTTCCCGTCATCTTTGGAATCTTTGAAACAGTCTGAGGTAGCGCCCCAGGCCCAGCGCTCGGTCGCCAGGAGCCACGCTGTGGCTATGAGTTGACACTGTCACAGCCTCTCAAGCCCTGGTGCTCCGACAGTGTGTCTTCCTACCTAGCAGGGCTTCGCAGGGGAAGTGTGGTCACGGACTGAGCAGTCCTGCGCAGCCTGGACGGCCCATCGCAGGGGTGGGGACAGGGTGGGGACAGGGTGGGGCTGGCGCACTGACTCACCGCGGCCACGGGCTGCTGGTAGGCCCCCAGCGAGGGCAGGCTCTGCGGCAGGCCAGGCCCCTCGCTCACGGGGGGGCTGCACACACACGGCGCCTGGGGTGGTGCCGCGTCCGCGAGGGAGCCCAGCACCACGCTCTGCTGGCTGCTCTGAGAGTCCGAGTACACCGTGGAGCCCTGGCCGCTGTCAAAGGTGCTGTCCGCTGGGGAGGACAAAAGCAGGACTTAGAGACGGTATCTCCACACACCACACAAGCAAACGATGGCTGGTCTGAATATTTTCTTCTGTAAAAGAAAAGCTTGGCTGTTTTTCCAGATCACACAAATAATACGTGCATGTGGTTTAAACAATCAACTGCTACAGAACAGTACTGCAGAGGCTGTCACTGTGTGCCCACCCCAACACAGCTGACGTCTGCCCAGCACGATGCCAGGGCGACCCCATCTTGCCAACCCTCCCAGGAGGCAGGTGCAGTCGTCCACCTCATTCACAGACAAGGAACCCAACGTGCGACCGGCCCGGCAAGGCCTGGATAGTCAGCGCTCATGCCGGCTCTTAAAGGCCTGAAGAGACTTGGGAGGCTGCTGGAATGTTCAAGTTAAGAAAAAGCTAATTTCTTCACTGTGGAGGAAACAACAATCACTTGTGTTTTATAAGAGGGGGAGGGTATCTCAGGACTCTGACCACCTTCACACATGGTCACAGAGGGCCTGAACTGAGAGGATCAGGGTCATGGGACCAGGTCTAACTTGACTGGAAAATGGGGCCAAGGCCGCCCACCCATCCCCTACAGACAGGCCTTGAAAGGCGGACGTGAAAGCGGCGGTGGCACCAAGCGTCCACGGTCCGAGCCTCCCCAGAGGCTCCTCACACGGGTCAGGCCAGCCTGGCCCCATCAAACCCAGATGCATCAAACCCATGGGGGCGAAGACAGAAACCCCACAGCCCACGGGCCTGTCTCACCCAGACGTGCCTGGGACTGCCGTCGCCTGCGTGGCCGTGCCGCGAAGAGGGAAAGGTGACGGGCTGTCTGAAATGGCACTTTGGGTTTACCGACTTCCAGGTTCCAAAAGCTACAAAAACAAGAGGGTTTGCCACCTGCGAATACCAAGCTATTTTCACAGGGTGGCATTTCAGAGTGAGTATTGTGTCCACTTACAATTTCAACAAGGTAAAGGGGAAATCTTGTTGGCTTCACACCAAAATAATTTTTCCCAGGGATTGATTAGAACTTATTTTAACCTAGGAGGACACAAGGAATGCTGAGGTTTAATTGTGCAAAACCAATTAGACACGCAGCTCTGATTTTTAATGAGCTAAGTGGTCATTAAAGTGGTGATTTCCACTTAGAGAGAGGGCGGGAGGGAGGGAAAGAAAACGTGTACAGACCTGATGTGTTTCAAGTAGAGCAACTCTAACCATATGTGTTAATGCAAATGTGTTCATTTCCTGTGTAAGTACAAATTTTAGAAATCATGTTTGAACCTATTGACAAACTGTGCTATGGCAGCCACCAGCTGTGTAAATGGAGCTGGGGAAGCCTCTGCTGAGCCTGATCAGGATGGCTGGGGGCAGATACACTGTCGCATCTTCCAACATGCAAACGTGTGTCTGTCGGCCAGTCTCACTCCTCAAACCAGGTCCTTCTAGCTCCCGTGTGTACTGTCCAACAGCCCCACCAGTTCACCTCGGGAAGTACAGCATGCACTGCCATCCCTGGGCACCCTGTGGACAGATGGGAGAGTGAGGACAGGCCACCTCTTTCGACCAGAACAGACCACGACAAGGTGCAAAAGAGCCAGGGGTGCTATCCACTGTGGAATAGAGGGGGATATAGGAGTGTGCATGTGTGCACACGTGTACCTGCAGATGTGTGTGCATGTACACATGCCTGCATGGGTATGCACAGATGTAGGCGTGTGCTCACATGTGTGCATGCATGTGTCCATGTGGGTGGGTGGTGGTGTGCATGTGTTGTCCGTGTGCGCACGTGTGTGGGGCGTGCATGTGTCTCTGTACATGCATGTGTCCATATGTGCGCATGGGGGGTGTCTGTAGATTCATGTGTCCACATGTGTTCATGCATGAGTGTGTGATGGGCTATGTGTACAGATTATCTCCAAAAGGACAGCTGAGAGACTGGTAGCATCTGTTGCCTCTAGGGAAGACAATTAAGGGACTTCTGCATACCCTCTTAGACTTTCTGAATTTTATACTATGTGACTATATTACCTATTTTAAAGAAACTTCAATAAACAAGTAAAGCATTTTTCAGGAGTGTGGCTATGGCCTCTGCACAAGTCAGACTAGAAGTGAGTCCGTTTGCAGAAAGAACACCTACACCCGAATTCAGCTCGTCAATTGATTCGACATCTTCATCCGATTTTCTCCCAGTGGATCAAACCTGAATTACGACATCTGACCACAAGCAGAATATATTTCCAGAGCCCAAACTATGTCTTCAAAGTACAATAAAAGGAGATTTAAAAATTCCCATCCGATAAATTATTTATCCAACAATTACAATTTTAAAGTATGTAATGCTGTGTCAAATATGGAGAACTTTCTCCTATAAAAAGTTTGTGCTCTTTAATTTTTTAGATTTATCAGAAAATAAATGGAACAATGATGTACTAATTTTGTTCCAAACCTGAGCAGGTTCGAGTGAAATAAATAGTAGGCAAACTATTAATATCTCAAAGTGATGACTGCTTGTGTGAATTTAAATCGCCTACTTTGAAGAACTAGCTATTATAATGATAAATGAAGGATGTGTGTATTAAATAAATTAAACAGGCTATTTCAGTCTTTCCACATGAACGAGCTGAAATACTGGCCCAGGCAGGTCCCTGGGCTCTGTAACTCTACTCCATGTGTATTCATGGAACGAAGCCTGTCCCTCTGTCCTCAGCCTACTGATGAATTTTTAGGGCATCAAGGGCGAAGGCAGGACATTTCTGCCTATATGTGCAGAAGACACTAGATTCTCTATAACTGGTCTTAGACGAAATCAGATTCAAAGTTATTCCCACCAATTCACTGGTAATACTGCCTTTAAAAACATATAAGAGGTTTTGTCACTAGAAGGGAGATAATATTGGAGACGGATGATCCCTGGGACAAAAACCACAAGCCAAGACAGTGGCATACTCCATCCATGGGACGGACACCCCCACGGAGCAGCCAGTGCCAATGCCTCATCTGGCCCTCATGTCCCCCCATGAGGCTGGGACTGCAATTCTCCTGACAGGACAAGGAACCTGCCTCAAGTCCACAAATCCACAGCAAGGAGCAGGACTGAACCGTCAGACCCTACTGGCTCAAGGCACATTTGTCCCCGCATCTGTTCTGAGAAGTGGAATTCAGCAACACTTAACCACTTCTGGTCACAGATCACTGGGAAATGTAGGGAAAGCCCCAAGCCCTTCCCTGAAACAACACTCAGCCACACCTGCTGTCCACACTCTGCAGGGTAGGCTGCGGGGATGGGCTCCAGACTGGTCAAGGCATCAGGACCCACATTCCCCAGTGTCTGGGGACTGACTATTCGCCGGCCCCACCACTCCGCACACACACACTCTTCTGAGGCTCCTGACATGCCCCAGCGCAGAGGACGCTGGCAAGAAGTGAGCCGTCACAGGGCACACTCCAACGGGCCACCGTGCTGACCTCCCTCCCTCACAAAGCATTCTAAGAAAGAGAAAGAACTTCATTTTTCTTTAACCCACAGCAGGGGCGTGGGAGGGGTGCCCACGGAGATCCCACCCTGAGCACTCACAGGCCAGGGAGGTGGCGCTGGTCGGCAGCGTGGGTGGGAGGAGGTGCTGGTCGACCTCCGGCTCCTCGGGCTCCGGCAGCCCAGGCTGCCCAGTTTGGGTGTGGTAGGTCACCTGGACCTGCAGGGGCACCGGCGGACCCTTGGCCTTGTCAGGGCTGCCCGAGTCCCTCTGCTCCTTGGGCTGAAGCGCAGGCCAGATCCTCTCACGCCGCCACTGGATCAATGCCACACGGTCACGGATGGACTTGGCCACGATCTTCACGTCACTCTCGTGGAAGAATCCAGACTCAATCTGCAAAGGCAGTCACATTGTTATTGTCACCAGGGTCTAGCCCACCCTACCCCACACCCCTCACCTGAAGTGCTCTCCCACCACCCGCTCATTCCTCGAAGGACGCTCCTGTCATCCCATGAGTAATTATTCCACCACTGAGCGTAAAATCCCCAGGGCCCAGCTCTGGGATGGCAACTGGCACATGGCAGGTGCCTGCTGAGGGGAAGAAAGGCCATCGCCCAGGCCCAACCTGCCTCCCATAGGGTTGACAGCAAGAGTGAAACCCAGAGCAACCAGGAGGCAAGTCCTGGGGGCTTCATGAGCTCCCAGACCACCCGGGGCTGGCCGAAGGCAGGAAGGGGTTCCTGGCTGTCTCTGTGCTCAGGGACAGCGGCAAGGAGGTGTGGGGCCAGCATTTTCCTCGGCATCTTCTCAGACACCTCAGAGGCTGGGGGGCTGCCCAAAATGGGGAATGGGGACACACCCAAGTTCTAAACAGAGCAAGGAAGTTCATTTTGTAATTTGAAACCAGAAAGGTGTGCACAGATGTCTGACAAAATTCTAAAACCGACTGACCAAGCAGAGCATTTGAGAGCACTGTAAAGGAGCCCCAAGATCACCAGGAAACATCCTGAGCTTGCCGAGAACAGTCGCGGCAGGCTACTTTCCTTCTTTCTGAAGAAAGAGACCGCTTTTGGAGGGGCTGCCCTCGCTAGGTTGCAGGTGTGGTGACAATAGCAAACATATGAAAACTTGTCAGAACTAAGATTCCAAATCCACCCGAGCCTTCCCTCCTTCCTGAAAACTTCAGCCCTAAAGATACTGGGTCGGGCAGGATGGGCCAGACGCCTTCGGGAGGGATGAGGGCCTGTGCTGGAGGACAAGCGTTCTGCTGGGGGCCACGGGACAGCTGCAGGTCAGCCACCAGCGTAAAGCTGACCGGATGAGAAAATATACTAGGAAAGTATACTAGGAGCGTGGGAGCCAGGCTCCTCCGACACGGAAAGCTGGACTCGAGAATAGGAACCTTCTGCTGGGTGGGAATTGGAGCTGTTGGTATGAACCATAGAACAGACGTGAATAAACACATAGACTGCACATGCGTGCATCGCTGTCTGCGTGTGTGTAACCGTGCAGACGCACGTGCCCTTGTGAGCTGTGCCCACTGGGAGGGAGCAAGGAGCACCCAGAGCTCTGCCACGACAGGAAGCCAGCGCTGCTCAGAGAAGTGGTGGCTCAGTGCTGGGCAGGACAAGAACAAGGACGAGCCCGACAGCGAGGACATGTTCAGAGAATGACAGGGACACGCAAAATGCCATGGGAGCCAGCACCAAGGGCCTCCTGCTGGCAAATCTGGGACATTTTGAACATCAAAATGAACAGTGATACGATGACGGTTTGAAGGACATGTCCACAAATTCTGACACATATTTTGCACCTGGGGGATGTAAATAACCTGTGGTGGCAGAAGGGATGAGGTCTCACTGCCGGTGCCAGGTGGGAGGCCGTGGGGGCCTCTGGTCTCCCTGCCTCCTCCCGTCTCTCCCTCCTTCTCTCTCCTCTGTCCCCTTCCCTCGGTGTGTCTCCGTCTCCCTCCCTCCCTCTCTCAGGGATCACCTGCTCTAGCAGAAGCCCCAGAACAAGCAGCATTATGCACGGGCCACCTGCGGGGGAACTGAGGTCTCCTACGCCAGCCCAGCCGACGCCCGACGGCACTTCACCAGGGGCCCTGAGCCAGAGGTGCCTGCTGAGCCGCCCCATCCCTGACCTCGGAGACTGTGCAAGGCCAGAAGCATTTCAAGCACTACATTTGGGGGTAATTTGATAGACAGCCATGGGCAGCTCATTTGTGGAGTATAATCCATTGAAGAAAACCAAAAGCTGTGAGTCCGTAGAGAGATAAAGAATTAAGTAAACGCAAAATCTGACAAGAAACAGACCATTTATGAAGTGTCCAAGCGCCTCCCCACAACACATGCACAGTCACAAAAGGCGAGAGCAACTCCACACGGAGAAGCCGCAGACACCCGCACCAAGCGCTCAGAGCCAGTGTCCTGCCTCACAGAGACAGGCGGAGCCATGTGCCCCAGAGGGACACACACAAACCCAGCCCCTTCTGTAAGACTCCCGCAAACATAAGGCCTGACCGTGACGCACCCACACAGCGATGCCTGAGCCCTTCCCCACTGGCCTCCCCTGTTCTTATCAGAGTGCGGATATGCACGATTTCATTATTGTTCTTCAACTGAACACGGAAGTCAGGGGCTGAGGGGGCCAAGGGGACATGTGATGGCATCACCGGCACATCTGGGGACCTGAGTGGCTTGAGGACGGGGTTGAGGGGGACACGTTTCTGATACTTCCCGGTGCTGGCTGCCCGCTTGGCTGTGCAGGAAAATGTCCCAGTTGGTAGGAAACAGACATGAAAGTGTTCATGGGTGAAGGGGAATCAGGTCAGCCACTTACTCTGAAACAGTTCATGGAAAATGCACAGTTCTTTGTCATGCCCTTGTAATTTCTCAGTAAGTTTGTGACTGTTCCAACAAACTTTATATCAAAAGGCAATTCTGTTTGACAGAATGAAGTTTCTGTGCCCTTGTGGGAACTTCCCCTGACTCAGGAGAGGGGTCAGCTGGGTGTGACCAGAGGCTGACAGCTCAGTGAGTGGGACCCACTCACATTTGGGGTCCCCACTGACCCAAGCCCCGAGGCTGCCTAGTGGCAGGGGCAGCCCACCGGGAAAGGAGGAGGATGGTCTGCTATCTCGGAGGAGGCACCAGGCGCCAGGTCCTCTTCTGGCCTCAGAGTCGGGAGTGGACTTTTTCCAGGGAGCCCCAGAGAACGATTCCGACCCTGGACGGCTCACAGGGAGGCCGAGACAGGTGTCCTCCCTGTCACTGGTACTTGGGGGCAGGCGTGTGCAGGAGGCCAGCCAGACCTGCTCTGCTGGGGCCTCTGTTCTTGGTAAGCACATAGCTCGGGCTGTCCGGAAGGTACCCAGTGACCTTGGGGTCACACCCAGGCTGGCAGCCCCACCCTCGCCCGCCTTGGCCCAGACACCTGACCAGAGGCTGCTGAAGACCACGCCTGCTGTCATTTCTATCTTCTGCCGCTCGGCAGTCCACAGCCTGATTTTTCTTCTGAGTCTGTCTTCACCGTCACCCCCAGCCTTTCTCTCCAAGGCATTTCTTCTGTTTTTTCCCAAACAGGGAAGAACTTAGCCACATTCCCCGCCACACTGGCATGTTCCATCATCAGAGGTCATGCAGGTGGAGGGAAGGGCTGGGGCTGCCAGCCCCTGCCCTTGGGGGTCCCACTGCAGAGAGGTCGCTTCCAGATCAAAGCCAGCCCAGGTCCCGTAGAACCTGCCCTTCTCTGCCTCTCTCTGGGGCATCTTTGCCCGACATCACCTCCCAGTGGTATTTGTTGAGAGCTGACTTCAGAGGGAGCAGAACTGCGCCCCATCCTCATCCTCTCCTGCCCTCAGGCCCCTCCAGAAGAAAGTCTCGTCTGGATTCCAGGACATTCCAGACCTCACACTTGCTAGTTTCAGCTTTAAGAACAAGCACAGCCTCAGGCCCAGGCACTGGCATTTCCCTAGCCTCAGTGAGGTGCTGCCATCATTTTGTTTCCAGGGCATTGTGGTGAGATGGTGGGAAGGCCCCGGGCCCCAGTGGAGGACTGCGGTGTCTCAGATGGATGGGAAGGAGGAGGGCGAGGCTAGAACCTGGAAAGGCGCTGGGCCAGGCACCGACCTGCGCGGCCTAGCAAGCGGCAGGGGAAGAGCTGAAAGCGCAACAGGCACACCCAGGGCCTCGCTCGCGGCATGATCCCCACCGTGCATGTGGTGTTCAGCTCGTCACAGGCGGCTCACGAGGCACTGGCCTCTCCTGTTCTTATCAGAGTGTGGATGTGCACTATTTCATTATTGCTCTTCAACTGAACACAGGTCACATCCCTTCTGCACGGATGCTCTATTTCATAGGCAGCACGTCTGACAGTGAAAACACGTGGGGCGGGGAGAGGTGCTGGGTGCCGAGGGGCCTCCGCTGTGTGCTGACGCAGAACCCAGCCCAGGAGTTCAGCCAAGTGCCAGGCACTTGTGTGGTGACAAGCACAGGAGGCCGTGGTTGAGGGGACAGCCGCGTCCACAACTGCAGTGCAGGAGGCAGCGGGGCCAGGGAACAGAGTCTCCGTGTTGATGAAAGCAGGGACCGGCCGGATCCTGGGAGCCTCCTCCTGGCTCACCTGCTTCCGAAGCAGCCGGGCAGAGTCCAGGGCATGAGGTCCAGGGCATGTTTTGGGCACCGTAATGATCTGATGGTAGAACTGAAGCCAAATTGGGAGGCAGCGAGGTCTGGTTGAAGCACAGATGTCTGGAGCCCGCTTGTGTGCAATCGTGGGCACCTCCCAGGATGCGCCACCCACGTGGGAATCGGTGCTCAGCTCCGGCTCGGTTCCCAAATCTCTTTCGCCCTGCCCAGCCCAGCGCCCCAACCATATCCGTAGAAGGAATGAGGGAACCTCATTCTACCTGCCCTTCCTAAGGTGATTTCCCCATAGCAACATCCCCCCACCCCATCCCTGCCATCAGCCCAGACCTCAGCACCGCAACAGAGACACACCCTGCAAGGCCAGAGCCAGCGCGGCCAGCCCAGCACCCTGCTCATCCTCACCCGCCCCATATGCGTGACACTCCTGCAGCCTGTCCCTCCTTGAGGCTGCCTTCCCTCCTCCTTGGTGGCCCTTGCGTGGTCCCCAGCCCTCCCACTGAGTGGCCAGCAAGATCCCAGCCTGTGGCCAGCACTCCAACGCTCAGCTCACAGCGGCACTGCCTGCACAGCGCCACATTCCTTGCTACCTGCGATAAAAGTGTGAAGGGACGCTATCGTATCAATGAACAGAACTGGTGCTCCTGAAGTCACAGGACAGATGTGCTAGTAATTATGTGAATGCAAGTCACAGCAAACCCGTGGTGATGAAATTTGAAAATGTACCTCTGTGCACCACATAAGGTCATCAAGAGCCATGAAAGATCCCCCCAGGAAGCACAGAGCTAAATGACCACATTACATCTGCTCACAGCAGAGCTTTCTGTGCCTGGGTCAAGACGTGACCAGAGACAAGCCGGGTGGGGGTGGGATGGGTGGGAACATAGGTGCCACCTTACAGCATCTAGGGTGACTGCAGCCAGTTCACAGGAGGAACCCTGCAGAGAAGCCAGCCTGGGGGACACTGCAGCCATCCTCACTGTGTGATCACAGCCCCAGACACAGGCCACTGTCCAGGGGAAGGCAGAGCCCTGGCCAGGGCACCAGCAGCCCGAGGAGGTGTCTCCTCCCCTCCAGGCACTGAGGCCCTGCACTCAGGTACCCACTAGGAGCACCCCCTCCCACAGCTATGGAGAGGCTGGGGGTGGCATGAGGCAATGAGACATGCCCCCAGCAGCCCTACAGGCCCACGGCCCCGGACCCCTCAGCCACGCGGCAAACCCCACCAGCAGCTCTGCCCCAGCTTCCCTCCTGGGAGGTCATGGCTGCAGGAAGCCCAGCCGCAAGGCTGCGATACCCTTCCTGCACCGACCTCGCTGCACGACCTACACCCAATGCCCCATCGAACCTCCCACGCACACATACCCCCACGGACGGGCAGCTGCAAGGAGGAGCAGAGTCTTCCAGGTTGACGAACCCAAAGCTCACCGCATCCACCCCTCCTGCCTCTGAAGGCTCACACACCTTCCAGGGTGTCGCCCAAGCCTCAGTTTCCTCATCCGAGTGGGGCCTCCTGCAGCTTGGCCCCGCGGGAGCCTGTGCAGGTAGGCCGCCCTCCCGCCTCTGCGGACGCCATCCAAGGGCCCAGTCCACCTCTCACTGAAACTCAGCCAGGCCTGGAGAAGCGAAGCTCGTGAAGAACCACCAGCCTGAGACTTGTAACATGTGGACACTTTCAGTAGATGTGCTATATTCAGTAAAAAGTTTATTTAAACAAAAAAAGAAAAAAGGACGTGCACCTTTGTGGGCATGCCACGTGAACACAGGGCTCTCCAGCAGTGAGCGTGCTGGGTGTATTTCTGCTCAGTCCTTCCACTAAAAATTAGTAGCTCATTTATTTCTAAAGCTCAACTATTTAACCTGCAATACTGAGAGCCTTTCTACACTTGCATTCCCACTGGTTTCCCCCTTGTGACTTTCTTGCTTTTGTCTGTTCCAGGCAGACTTTCATGCCCCTTGTCTCAATTTGTCTAATTGTCCAAGTTTGTTCATCTTTTGTAATTTACAACGAGGCCCCACACAGGGGCTCTCAGGAGGCACCACTGGCCCTGTGGCCCTTCCCAGGCCAGGCTCTCACCACTGTCCTTCTCTGGGGTCAGCTGCCCACTGGCCAGCAAACAAGCCCTGTAACCCCAGCAGAGGTGTGCTTGTCCAGTAACCTCAGCTGCCCCTGCAGCCCAGGGCAGCACCACCCAACAGAGCACATCAATGATGGAAATGTCCAGTGTTCTAGACAAGAGCCACTAACATGTGGTACTGAGTACTTTAAATGTAGCTAGGAAGACTCAGAACTGAATTTTAAATTTTAATTAATTTTAGTAGCCACACATGGGCAGTGGCTACCCCTGGATGGCATAGGCCTAGAGAATCGAATCAAAATAATCTAGCCTGGCATTAGAGGCTCTAGAGCTGTTCCACCTCCGCACCCCTGTACCATGCACCCTGCACAATTATTAGGACAACACTATTACCACCTGCATCAGCCAGGCCTCTCCTCCCACCCAGACCTGCGCCTGGACCTCTCCTTTCCCTCTCACCGGCACTCTCACCCCAGCCCAGGGCCTCCTCCAATGCAGCCCAGCCTGACACCCTGGCAGAAAAGGGCCACTCCTGCACCCCCCACCCTACCAGCTCCTCACCCAGACAGAAGGAGCAGGAAGGAGAGAAAAGATGGAGATGCACCCCATCCACTGCCTTTCTGGGTGGAAAGTACCAGAAACCAAAACAATCATGACAGTGTCACCAAAGCAAAAGGAAAGGCATGGGCCTGGTGTGGTGGCTCATGCCTGCGATCCCAGCACTTTGAGAGGACGAGGCAGGAAGACCACTTGAGACCAGGAGTTCGAGACCAGCCTGGGCAACATAGAGAGATCCCCATGTCCACCAAAAAAAAAAAAAAATTTCCAGGCATGGTGGCATGTGCCTGTAGTCCCAGCACTAGGGAGGCTAAGGCAGGAGGATCACTTGAACCCAGGAGTTAAGAGACTGCAGTCAACTACAATCGTGTCACTGAACTCCAGCCTCCAGCCTGAGTGACAGAGCAAGACCCTATCTCCTAAAAAAAATAAAAAAATAAAAATAAATAAAAAATGAAAGGCAAAGATCCCAAACTCAAAGCCACCACATTGAAGCAAAGTCAGCAAGCGTTTGGCCAAAGCAAACAAGGCCTTTCCAACCCTTCAGAGTTCCCGCTCCACCCTCTCCACTTCCACACGAGTCCTCCACCACGCTACCTCGAGCCGCTCGCCCCGAGTCCCGGCAGGGGAGGAGAATTCCCACCTACGCCACGCCAACACCGTACAGGCGTGGCTGAACCGCGAGGCCCTCCCAGCCCGTGCCGGCCACTCTCCACCAGACAGGTCACGCTCCTTCTGGAACAATCTCCCCTCAGGACTGCTTTTGTTCTAACCTTGGGAAACCACACGCTCCCCAAGCCTGCAGCCCAGACTTGCCTGTGGCTCGTCTGAGACCCACTCGCTGGGTACGCGTGGCAGCAGGAAGCGCGCTTACCATTTCCTGGGCCACCTCGTCGGGCGTCTCCTTCTCCAGGTCGAAGGTGAACTCTATGGCTCCGTTGTCCTTGGGCTTTCCCTTCAGTTTCTTGGGGTCCTCGACCCAGAGCCGCAGGGCAATGGTGGACTTCCTGCCGTGGTCCTCCTCCGCAAGCTCCACTCTCACGCCCGTGTCCTCTGCGAAGAAGGCGTGGCTCAGCAGGTCCTTGATCTCATACCTAAAGGGAGAGCAGCTGACAGGCAGGGGCCTGGGCGCTGGGGGCCTGTGCACCCACACTCCTGCTACTGTGGCTGGCGCGGCCACACGAGCCATGGCTGAGGACGTGAACCTGCCGAGCACCTGAGCGTCAGAGGCCTCAACCCAAACATCTCGGCCCTAAACATTGTACTCCCTGGCCTGTTCCCGTGTCAGAAAGTCCTCCGACTTTACTACTAGATGGGCAAGCTCTGCCTGAGTGTGTATTTCCTTAACTCCCAGGGGATAAGGAAAAAAATTACAATCTGAACAAAAGTCTTACTACATAGTGTTTTAAGACTTCCTTTTTTCTCCCTCATTACAAAAAGAAAACATGCTCATTGAAAGAGATTCAATAAATACAAAAAAGAATTTTAAAAACCACCAGGCCTCCCACAATGCAGACACAGCCCCTGCTAACATGCTGGGGGGCTTTCAATTGTCACAAGAGACATCTGGCCCTAGAAAGGACTAAAATGCAAACAGAGGAGGTGGAACCCCACCCCGAGCCCCCCCACTCAGTACCACGAAGCAATGACATTTTTGGGGGGCCTTGTACAGGAGGAGGGACTGGTGAGGCAGAGAGGAGGGGAGAGTGGGTGCTGAGGGTGAGCAAGGACCTGCGGAACCCGGGGGTCCCAAGCCGGTGTCCAGCCACAGAAGGGCCCTATACAGGGAACCGAGGCTCTGCTGTCGGGTGTCACTCTGCTGACCATTTCTGGGCTCTTCACAGCTCTGCCAAACAAGCATCGCTAACCACTAATGAGCTCTCTTCTCTAGTATAAACAGAACCACACAACACGCACTGTTTGGGGTTAGGCTTTTTCCACGTATGATGTCTGCAGAGTCATCATGTGGCTGTGAGTATCAATAATCCATCCTTGCTTACTGCTGAGGGGTATCACACCAGATGGTGTGTGTACCCCGGTTTGTTTGTTGGGAGGGAAGACCAGCTGTGAAGGACGGGCCCTGCTCTGAGGTGGGGAGCTGGCTTTGTGGAGTGGCTGGAGTTATGCTACTTTTGAGATCGGTCAAACAACTAGATGCATAAAATACACGGCCTGGGGTTCAGAAGGGAGGCCAGGACTGAAGCCCATCTGGAGCCCCTCACATGGAGACGTCCTCTAAGGTCATGGGAATGGGCAAACCCACATGCCATGACGCAGAGAAAAAGCAAGGAGGGGCAAGGGAGGCCCAGGCACTCAGACGCTGCAGGCTGGGCTGGTGAGCAGTAGCCAGCCAAGGAGGGTGTTCCCGGACAGCACAGAAGGACGTCAGGCCTGACCTCCTTGCCTGGCGTCCCCCATGTGCACGCAGAGCCAACATGCCCAGCGGCCTCTGCTGACGTGCCCGCGCACCCTGGCCTGAGCCCACTGTCTCCTAAAGTTCTCTCTTGTCAGGAACACGATGCTAAATGCCAGCAGGAATGATTTCAGCTGGAAGAGACCCCAGAACCTAACACCACACTGAAACTCACCTTTCCTCCTTGTTTTTGCAAATACATTCCCCAATGATCTCCTTGATTTCAGGATCGTGCACTTTCTCAAAGCTGGCTGGCTTGATGCCCTGGGAATGGGAGAGCAGAGTTACCTGACACAGATCGGCTGCTGTCCACAGCACAGGGGACACCTCTCCAGCCACACCCTCCTACATATGCAGGACTCAACCTCCACAAACTACTAGGAAATCGGACAAAATATGCAAAATGGCCATGTTCAGACACCAGATGATGGGGCAGTACCTGACATGGATTCTGAGAGAAAGGGACAGGTGAGCCAGTCCCTCCCACAGCCCCGGCTCACTGCCCGGAGCCCAGCAGAACCCAACCATCCCACTGAGCTTTGGGATGGAGCTCAGAATACAGGGAGGCTGAGGAGGCCACAGGAAAGTTCCAGAAAGAAGAGAGCAACACAGCAAAAAGAGCCCCAGATATCTGCACATGAGTCCCACAAGTGCATAGTCAACTCCACAGGGCTGGGCAAAGAACAACAGGGAAACGCAGGCAGAACAATTCCCAGAGTTCACAGAGGTCAGGAAATAACACAATACATACAATGTACGGCATCCAATCAAAAATTGTAAGATGTGCCGACAAGCAGGAAAACGTGACCCATGACACTGCAGAAAAACTACAACCAGAAATAGACCTGGAAATGAGAGAGATGTTGGAACTTGCAGACAAGGAGGCTAAAACTCATTATAGCTATGTACAAGTATTTAAAGGAAATGAACATAAGGAGGAAGAGAAATGATAGAAAAAAAAGAACCAAATGGAACTAGAGATGAAAAGCACAACATCTGAATTGAAAGTTTCACGGGAGCAGATGAACACCAGATTAAACACTGCAGAAGCAATGAATGAACTTGAAGATGTAGCAATAGATCAGATGGTCGCTGAAGCTCTGCCCCATTCGTTTCAGAATTGGGGACGCTCGCAAGGGCCAAATATGCACATGACATATACAAAACTGGAGTCACAGAAGGACAGGATTCAGGGTGGAGGAGGGATAAAAAAAATACTTGAGGAAATGATGGCCAAAGATTTTCCAATTTTGATGAAAACTGTATAGCCACAGATGCAACAAGCTCAAGCCCCAGGCAAGACAAAGCAGAGCAGGGAATAAACTGGAGACTTGTGTGAAGCCAGCAGCCTGGTTTCCTACTATTTAGGTCTCCTATGGAGGACACCTTCTTGGGTTCCCCCTGCTTCTGTCAAAGCAACCATCGCCCCGGCAACAACACACAGTGAGCACTTCCACCTAAGCTGCAGAATCTGATACTGGGGTTAACACCTCAAATATAGCAGTCAGTTTCTGGAAAGGTGTTGATGAGAGCTTGGCCACAAAGCCTCCCAGGTAGGGCCACTAGGGCCTCCTGTTCCAGCTGCCCTGTCACCTCAGAGGCTGGTAGAGGAACTGCGGTGACGAGGTGGATGGGATGCTGCCCAGAGAGTGGGGCCTTTCTAACCACACCTGGGCTTCTCCCCTCCCCGCCCTGAGGGTACAAGAGCACTATTTGTGGTCACTCTTGGCCACGGGCCAGGTGGCTTTGAGGTGGGTAGCCCTCCTTGGACAGCCAGTGGCCATGCATGAAGGGAGCAGAGTGCAAACCCAGCAGCCAGACACAGGATTTCAGGAGCAGGGGGTAGGCAGGTTTCGTCTGCAATCTGCTGGGTTGTTGGTTTTTTTTTTTTTTTGAAGGGAGGTATGGGCAACTAATTAAAAATTTTTTAAACACATTGAGGGCATCAACTATCACATTCTTCCTCCTTCAATAATATTTAGCCTTCAAAAGCTTCACCTGGCTTTTTTTTTTTTTTTTAAATATAGAGAGCATAAAGCATAAATTTTCCCAAAGGCAGGGGTAGGGAGGGAGGGAGGCATGCCCACTGAGCCCTGGTTGCTGGAGCCCCCAGGCCTGGGGGCAGACGAAGACCCCCAGGGCAAGAGTTCAGGAGGACAACCAGGCCCATGTCCCAACCAGACCACCGTCCATGCCCCTCTGGGAACCCAGGGGCCCCTCCCACACCCCACACCAGCACCGCTGAGGCCTCACAAATGGAGCCCTAAGTCTCTGGAGCCCCCCAGTTCCTCCCACCACAGTCGGCCCTTGCCTCCCTCAAGAGCTGCTGCCCATGGCCAGCGGGTGCCCCTCCTCCCAGCACCCACAGGGACGCTGCACCTTTCTGGGGTTTCTGACTCAAGCCCACAGCACCATCCGTCAAGGACTCTGCCTGCCTTCCCACGTCCTCAGGGCTACGCAGAGGGGCTCACGACAGCCAGGTGACTGACAGCTTAGAATAACCAAACACACATAATCTGCAAGGAGGGCTCAAGAATCATGCCCCTGTGCGTCTGCTGAAGCAGCCGTGGAGCCACACAGCTGCCCAGGGCAGAGCGGCGTTGAGGCGCAGAACAGGCCCCCCCGCCCCTGTCAGGCATCCTGAAGATGGGGGCTGCCAGGCTGGGCCTGCACCCCAGGCTGAGGGGGAGGCGGTGAGGACTCCAGGGGATCCCAGCAGCCCGGGGCCCTTGGTGCGGACCCTGCACCAGGGCTTGCCCTGTGGGCCTCCCAGGCCTCACCACGAGAGCAAACGGACAGTGCAGAGATGGGCGCAGGAGCCCCGGCCCAGCCACTCCACCCTGGGATGTGCTGTTTGTGCTCCCTCCACCCAGCAGGGCCCGCCGCAGAGGGAGGACAAGACCAATCTGTTTGTACAGCTGAAGCCGTCCGATTAACTCAAAAATCACAGCGACAGCAAAACAGGGATTAACGTTCCCAGCTGCCTGACGCTGACAACTGCCTAGAGACTTGCTTGGTCTAGGGGTAACTGGCTGGAAAAGAAATCAAACCACTGTTTCAAAATAAACAAGATGGAAAATCCAGCAGCCCTGGGGCAGCCCAGAGGGGCCTCTGGGGTCAGGCAGCCTGGGCACCCCTCTGGCCTCTTTGAGTCTCAGTTTCCCTGCTGTCCTGGCTGCACAAGTGACCCTCCATGGCTAAGCACTGCCCATGGTGCCCCGTTTATCACCATCTCAGTTCCCCATCTGCAAAACAGCCTGGTTGCTTCTTTACACAGCTGCCGAGCAGACTTCACGAAGGCACACAGAGCCCAGCCCATCACTGTGTCCCTGTGAGCAAGGTGGCCGGGTGGACTCACACAGGTGACCTTTCTGTAGATCTGCGCGGCATTCTGGCACTCCGAGTAGGGGTACTCTGAGGTGGCCATCTCCAGCATGCACATCCCGAAGGCATAGACATCGACAGACTCATCGTAGTGCTCCTCGTACATCTCGGGGGCCATGAACTCAGGGGTACCTGTGCCCGGGAGCAACAGACACAGCAGTCAGCTGGACTCTGGCTCCTGGGCCCAGCAATGCCAGGAGCCAGTGTCCCAGGAGCCTCGGCCACCCAGATCCCCATGTCCCCCTGCCTGTCCCATGGCACCCTCAGAACACCAGGCCCCCAACGCCAGCCCTGCCCCACACTCAGGAAACAGGCATGCTCTACAGATAGCGGTTACCAAAAATTCCACCTGCAACCTCATGATTCCAGGGGTAGAAATCAGTTTATAGCACCATCCCCTGCCCAAAGAGCTGGGAGACTATGACTTCCAGACCCAGGAGGCAAAACCCTGGGCACACTCTCGTGTGTGGACATCACGATCCCGATGACAGGCTCAGCATTGGCCGGCACTCAGACACCCTGCAACAAACAGAAACTTGGCAGTTGTCATAGAGCTACATATAACTGCCAAAATCCAGAAAAGCCGTAAATGTCCCCAGACAGGGGAATGGCTAGGTACCCTGGGCATGCCCCCATGACAGAGTGTCATGTAGCACAAGACCACCAACACCACTGAGGACAGTGCCTGGTGAGGGGAGGGACAGACACCATCCACCCGATAGGTGCCACAGACTTGTTAAGACGGTAACCACTCGTGCTGTATTAAATACAAAAGGTGCAACAACAATGTTTGCACTGAGGTTAAATTTTTTTAAGAGTCTTGCTATGTTGCTCAGGCTAGTCTCGAACTCCTGGCCTCAAGCAATCCTCCTGCATCGGCCTCCCAAAGTGCACGAGCAACCACAGACATGAGCAACCATGCCCGGCCTGCACTGAGGTCTCGAGGGCATGGCAAACTTATGCCAGCTAAGTAAAATGATACGAGATAACACACACATGCTCGCTGGTCTCAACCTACATAAAACAACACACACAGAGTGAGATGATATCTGGGAGGTGAGGCAACAGCTGATATTTCTTTTACTTACACTGGTTTGGGGTTTTTAAGATTTCTATTATAATTTTTTGCTTTAATAATACAGCAGTTGTAAAAATAAAAATAAAAACCTTTAATTAAATAGGTCCTATTGAATGTCTATCAAGCTGAATGCAAAAAAAAAAAAGAAAGGGACTAGAGACTTCAGTAAGGCTGCTTTCAACATCTGGATATTTGTTGACTTTGAAAGATTTTCAAAATGTTCTAGTTTCTTTTAAAAAGCAGATGCAAACTCATTACTGCATTAAAAAGCACATGTTAGAGTTTTGTTTATCCATTTCAATTTAACATGTATTACATGTTCATCAAAGAAAAGTTAACATTTTGGATAAAAATGGGGAAAACAAGAATGTATGTTTAGACGTAAGTATATGCACACAGAACTCTGGAAGAATTCACGAGAAATAACATAATCTGAGTCAGAGGGACCTTCCACTGGGAATTTTATCCTTTTGGATTTTTGAGCCACATGATTATACTGAAAATTTGCTACCCTGGGAATTTTTAATTTAATATTTCAAAGTTTCTTTCCATCCCTAAGCTTGTCACTGAACAGTGAATGTGTTACCCAGGCTGGGGCAGGAAGCAAAGATGCCACAAAAGCCCCAGGCAGGCAGCCACAGGCAGGAGCGGCCTGAGCTACGGCTCCAAGCCCAAGCTGGTGACAACGTGAACACCTGCTCCCTGGCCCCTCCCACCCCGCTGACCTGTTCCAGATGGGCCTAGACCATCGCAGCCACTAAGGAGGGCCCTCCATCGTGGTAGTGGGCACACAGCAAGATGTGGCGGCTGACTCACCAGGAAGCCCCAAGCTGCAGGAGGGAAGCACTCACTCCCCGGGGCCTTCTCAGTTGTCCACAATGACACCCCCACTACCTGAGCCCCGAGACCCTGAGGGATGACTCGCCCTGTGACAACAGAGAGGACCACTACGAAGCCCTTTTCTGCTAGGAGGGGCCAACCAGAAGCCTCAGGGGCACATCCTGAGCCCTCACCTCAGCCCAGCCACTTCTGTCCAAAGGGAAGAGACTGAAGGGAGCCCCATCCCCAGGGCTGCTGGGCAGGAAGCCAGGAGCTGAGCCAGCCACTCCTTGGCACTTGTGGGGACCCCACTCGCCCAGCTGCCAGCACAGCGCCAGCATCCAGACGGGAGGCAGCAGGGTTCCTAGGCTCCGGCTGTTCTGAGACCCTCAGGAACCAAGGACCCTGCTCCACAAGAAACACCCAAGGCCCAGACAGCCTGGCTCTGGGGGCGAGCTGGGGTTGCCAGCAGGTGGGGGGTGCAGAGGAACCCTGATAACTAACGCCCACTTTTACACATGTGCTTAGATGCTGGTACTTGGACATTGGCACACATTCTCTCACACTGTAGCCATTTAAATCTGAATTTTAGGCTGGGCATGGTAGCTCACGCCTGTAATCCTAGCACTCAGGGAGGCCGAGGCAGGATCCCTTGAGGTCAAGAGTTCAAGACCAGCCTGAGCAAGAGACCCTGTCTCTAAAATAAAAACAAAATAAAAAAATCTTAATTTTAAAAATAACATGGTTCATGCACATACACGTATGTCCAGTGGACAGTTCCACCTACCATGCTGCTCTGTGGACAGCTGTCAGCTGTGGAGCCCCCACCCCCAGCCCCCTCGTGCACACCTGTCCGCACCCGCGGTCCCTGCAGACAGCTGTGCACGTGAAGGTTAGGATGTCAGGCCCCGTCTCACTCCACCAGCCGAGCCCCATGTCATCAGGTATTGTGAGCCCCTGCGCTGCCCCCCCAATCCCCAGGAGGCAGACAGGGCTCCGTCAGAGTGGCCTTTCTTCTTTTTAACAAGAGAAGCGGCTGTGGTTCTGCCTGTGCAGCTGTGAGGCGGTCTCAGCTCCTGGACGGTGATCGGCAGTGAGAGGAGGGAGGGACCTGATCCAGCCTGGCGCATTTAAGATCACCTTTTAAGGCCGGACGCGGTGGCTCAGGCCTGTAATCCTAGCACTCTGGGAGGCCGAGGCGGGCGGATTGTTTGAGCTCAGGAGTTCGAAACCAGCCTGAGCAAGAGCAAGACCCCGTCTCTACTAAAAATAGAAAGAAATTAATCGAACAACTAAAAATATAGAAAAAATTAGCCGGCATGGTGGCGCATGCCTGTAGTCCCAGCTACTCGGGAGGCTGAGGCAGGAGGATCGCTTGAGCCCAGGAGTTTGAGGTTGCTGTGAGCTAGGCTGACGCCATGGCACTATAGCCGGGCAACACAGTGAGACTCTGTCTCAAAAAAAAAAAAAAAAAGATGACCTTTTAGCCTGTGAAAACCACCCTGCATTAGAGTCTGCCTGTTTCCAGATCTGTAATAAAAGACAAGTAACTTCCTTATGGAAATCAAAGATTTCCTAGCCTTAACTATCCTTATGATTTGCACTAAAACCAAACCAACACAGACGGCCCTCATCCATGTTCTCACTGGACAGGCAGAACTCATCTCCTGTCTCTCAGTGGGGTGGATGGGCAGGTAGCACCTGCTGGGGGGACTGCACACCACCCAGAGTCCCCCCAGGACTTCTCTATAATGGCTGCAAGGAAGGTCTAAATGACGTACCCATGGCCGCCCAACAGCGCGACCTCTCTCCCATCCTCTGCCTGGCACGCCCATCCCATCCCAGGCAGCCCGAGACTTTTTCCAGAACGACTATCCCCAGTTCACCTTGGCCTCTTCTCAGTTCACCTACCCGCCAGGCCTGGTTCCATCATCACTTCCTCCAGGAAGCCCTCCGGGTGGGCAGGGCACCTCCACGGCCCCCAGGACCCTGCTTACTCACATGGCCTGTGCAGCCGTGGATACCTGCAGCAGGACTGTGTTCCATCATCTCCATCCCCCTCAGGGCCAGCCAGGCCCGGCCGAGCACACACAAACCAGCCAAACGCACACTGTGAGTGTGGGAGGCCCAGGAGGCCAAACCTGGTTAGCAACATTTAACGCACACCTGTGTAAGAATGTGGCACCTGGGTGGGGCCCCGGGGTAATGTCTGGGGCCCTCACAAGGCAGACAGCTCCAGGCACAGGAACACCATCCCCTCAATCCTTCCACTCCCATCCCAGAACAGCCCTGGGAAGCCGGCCCCGACCCAGGCCTCTCACACAGGACACATCTAAAGTGCAAACCACAGTACCTACCCCAGGAGACCCGCACGTCCACAGCAGGAACAGCCTGCAGCACCAACTGCCCCCAAGGACATCGGAGACGGGGACCCTCCTCCCGAGGAGATGGGGGCCATGGCCTAAGGCTGTCCTTCTGATGGGACCACAGACCCCAGGAGAACACAGACCCAGGAGGGCTCAGCCCGTTCACCACCGGGGCCAGCATGCGGGGGCGGCGTTGAGCAATCAGGTCACAGGCCAGGGGACCCTACTGACAGGCCTGGGGCAGCTTCCTATTAACAGGCCTGAGGGGAGCCCCTGTTCACGGATGCGGGGACGCCTGGGTAAAAGGCCTGGGCCACCAAGGAGGGCCCTCCACGGTGCCAGTGGGCACCCCCCACCTGGCCACAGCACCCCTACCCAGCGGTTGGCCCACTGCTAAGGGCCTCTCTGCCCAGTGCCCCAAGGGAGCCACATGACTCATTCTCCAGGAGTGTGGGCAACCGAGGACACTCCTGGTCACAGCCTCCCTAACCGCAGTTTCCTGGGCCCCGGCTGAGCAAAAGCTATGTGACACCCCACAGAGCCGGGCACCCATGTGGGGCTCAAGGTCCCGCTGCACCTGCCAGAAACACCCAGCCTTCAGCTCAACCTGACCCAAAAACTTGAAATCTCGTTTCCAAGAGGCCAGGGAGCCGACCAGCCAGGGGAAGCTGGGGGGCTCTGCTGGGCACCTCAGCTCTGGTGTGGGGGTGGTGCTTTGTCCTGATGTCTACTTCTGAGGCAGGAGACCCCCAAGCAGCCCTCCTGCCTCCTGTGCCCAGGGCCTGAGACCAGGACCCCACCACTTCCGAGGCCAAATTGGCAAAACCTGCCCCAAACTGTGCAGAGCTCAGTGCCCCAGGGTGCGGGCTCTCCACAGCCCTGGCCCCTTGCTCTCAGCCCCTCCGGGTTGGAGCGCAGACCCTCTTCTGCCCCACCCATTTCACATATGGGGAAACTGAGGCCTGGGTCAGCCCCTGCTCTCCATCACTTGGCTCCCCACGGGACTGCCAGAGGCTCCAGATGTCACATTCCAAACATATCACCCAGGGTTTCATTTTCCCCAAACAGGCCAAGCTCTGTCCCCAGACGTGCAGCAAAACCATGAATTCAGAAAGCCTGGAGACTGACCACTCCCTGCCCTGCTTGTGGGGAACCAGCCCTCACACCGAGGGGCTGGCCAGGTCTCCACACAGGGGCATCTCCCGACCTGATCCCACCTGGGCTTCCTGAGCCCCGACCCAAGCTGCCGGCCCTACACATGTTGGAGCTTTCCGGGCATCTTAACCCCCAGAAATAGCTGCTCCAAGACCCCTCCACAAGCTTGTTTCAAAGCCCATAAGAACCCATCCTGGACCAGTGGACACTGGTGCCCGCAGTGCCAGGAGCATGCCTGGGGCCAGGCACATGGCACGACGCAGACCCGTCGTCTGCACAGCAGCTATGGGCTGGCTGCCCCAGGGCCCAGCACCTCACCCCAAAAGGCGGCTAGGAAAGCTGCTCAGGGGAGGGGAGAGTCTGAGCTGAGGACTGAGGATGAAGAGAGGCCAAGAACACCCAGCAACCTCAGTTCCTCAGCCTGCGCGTAATGTCTACTCTGTGCCTTGCCCCAGCTACGTGTGTTTCCCAGACACCCCAAGTTGTCACTTCCCTGGGCCTCGCAGCCTGCGTGCTCCCCTCCCCGCCTGCTGAGACCAGCTCCAGCATCGCTGGCCACAAACCTCCCTAGTTCCTCTGTGGTCGTGGCCTCCTTCCCTCCTCCAAGTGCCCACAGCGCCCACACGCACCGCGGGTGTCAGCACCCGGCCCCCCTCCCTCGGAGATAATCAGAGCTGGCACCTAGCCCACAGCCGGGGGGTGAACTTGAAAAGCCGCAGGGCCAGAGTCTGGACGGAGCGGGGGCTGCAAGTGAGGGGAGGAGAGGGGTCAGCGCGTGCTGGCTAGAGTGGCAGCGCACCCACCCGGCAGGCAGGGCCCCCAGGCTGAGCCACTGGAGGCTTAGAGGGCCACTTGGATGCCTGGCCTGAGGCACCCCTGCCCACACACTTCCCCGCTGGGCCTCCACACCAGATCTGCGGTGTCTGAACAAAACCGGACACTCGCTGGCCCCTCAAATCCCGCCCAGTGGGGAGGAGAAATGGGTTTACCTATCACACTTTTGGCAAACGATGCTCTTTTGAGGGTTGCCAGGCCCAAGTCGCCAATCTTCACAGACCCAGTTGGTCCAGTGATGAAAATATTGTCGCACTTCAGGTCTCGGTGGATGATAGGCGGCGTCCTCGTGTGCAGGAACAGCAGGCCCTTCAAGATCTGCCGGCACCAGCTGCGGAGCACCTTGGGCTTCATCACCTTGAACCGCTTCAGGTACCTGGCGGGGGGTGGGGGGCAGTTACCATGTGCTCACCAGCAGTGGCCCCTACGCAAAGTCCCCGCCTAGTGCTGTTCAGGCCCGGTACTAAGTCTGTCTACGTGCACGCAGGGGCCACCTACAACAGGCAGTGAAGGTGAGAGAGGAGGGTCGGACGGTTCTGCCCCTGCCAGGGCTCACCAGCCAGAGCCAGGCCCCTGAGCAGGCAGCCAGGCTGGGCTCACCATCCTCCACCACTCCCCTCACACCGCGGACCTACCTGCTGAAGCTCCTGCCAAACACCATCCTGATCTCACCCTGAAATGGTGCCAGGCTAGCTTTGTAAGTCACCTGAGGCAGGACAGAGTCCCAGCCAGCAGGTGCTTAGGGTGAGGGTGAGGATGAGGGGGTGTGGGGGCCAGAGGCCAAGAAGGCCAAGCCCTCCCTGCAACTGGCTGTGTGGCCTGTTCTGAGCAGTGCCCTGGGAGGTAGCAGCAGGTGAGGCTGGGAGAGGGACTGTCCCCTCACTATGCATTCACCTGTGAGAGAAAATGCTGAGGCCCTGCCTGAGGTCACAGGGGTCAAAACGATTCAGATGGACCCAGGGTGTGCACCCAGAGGAGAAGCCCCCATGCCCATAATGCAGACAGGGGACTCAGCGAGGAGAGACAGGCTGCCATGGCCACCAGCTCCGGACCCCTCCCTGACCATGTGCCCGTCCTTGGGACCCTGTGCACCCTGGTCTGCGCTCTACCCGGCCTCTTGACACCTGCTGCAGCTGCTTCCTGAGCCTCCAGAACGTGCCGGCTGGCTCCCAGGCAGAAACGGAACCCAGAAACAAGGCCCAGGCACCCCGGACAGAGGAACCATCTCACAGGGGCATAAACAACCCTCTGGTGTCCCATGCAGAAGGGGAAAGAAGGAACAGCTTCCGTGTCTGAGGGACAGGTCACATTTGTCACAGGAGGCCAGAGAGAGCCAAATGCTAGGAGTAACTGCCAGGTTGCTTTATTTGTTTCTTCCCATTTGGGGAAGGGGCTTCCTATTGCCAAGAGAACACAGATTTATCACACCTCTAAGAGGTGGGATGCTGGACCTCGGGCACAGCACAGGATCTTGTCCTGCCCAGCTCTGGTGGCCCTGCGCCCACACCAGGACCTGCCCACGAGCAGCAGCACTTACGTCTTCAGTGTCCCTGAGGTCATCAGCTCGGTCACCAGCACAATGCACCGCTTGCCCTTGGCGCTGGACTCCCAGAAGTCATAGAAGCGCACGATGTTGGGGTGCTGCAGGCCTTTTAGCATCTCTGCCTCCTCCTTGAACCGCTGCCGCTCCAGCTTGGTGAGCTTCCGGTCCTGGAATGAAAGAGACATGCTGAGTGGGCAGGAAACTGGGTACAGGAGGGGCCTGGGCCGTTTGGCCCAAGGCCTCAGAGACAGCAGCAAGTCCTGGAAGCACCACGTGGCAGGAGCAGCCCTCCCTCTACCCACAGAGACCTGAGTGGCTGCAAGACAGGGGCACTTGGCCACCTGCACTATGACAGCCGAGCTCCCAGGACCCTGGATGCAGCCCCTGCAAAGGGACCTCAGCAAAAAGAAGTTCTGGGGAGCCAGAGAGGTCCCATAAATCCACACTGACAAGCTCATGCACTTTTTCCATAAAAACATCTTGAGGCCTTTGTTCCCTCAGCAGTCATTCACTTCCTGAGTGTTTGTTAAAAGAATGAAATGTCAGTTTATTTCTAATGTATACACAACTTGGAGGAAGTGCTCAGGACTCAGTAGATTAACCAGAGGAGACACTGACAGGTGCCTGAGACCAGAGGAGGAAGAGAAGCCCCAGCAGACCAACACTGACGAGCAAGCAGCCAGGGCCCTCTGGTGCGGGACACAGCAGACACTTCCCGGGACCCTCAGGCCACCATGCACAGCTCGAGCCAGCTGAACTACCCACTGACTTCAAGTTTAAATAGGGAACAACAGACAAACGCCACCACCATCATCTGGGAATCTTCGTCAGGTGCATGCTGCTAGGTGTCCCCCGTACATACCCTCTGCCCACGGTCCCAAGAAGGGACCGCCAAGACCATGCACCACATTCGAACACATCCCAGTGCCACCCACCCTATCCCCACCAGCTCCCACCACCCTGTCCACGCTCATCCATCCGTCACCACCCTGCCCCCGCCGCCTCACTCCCCCTGGCAGCCCACCTGGATCCTGCCCTTCCTTTCCCGAAATCCTTCAATGGATTCTCATTTGGAGCACCCAAAATAAACCCAAAGAGCCCGCACAACCCCAAAGGCTCTAAAGGCTCTGTTTCCAACTTCATCCCGTGGGACGAAATCCCACATCCACGGGCCCAGCTGAGGCCTCTCCCCACCCCAAATATGCACCACCCCTCTCACCTCCACCCAAGCTCGTGCCCCCAGCATTACCTCCTGGTCCTGGTCCAAGAGGCCCACAGAGCAAGGCCTGCCTCCCACAGGAATGTCAGAAAAGAAACATGTGTATTTTCAGAAGGAAACCATAAACATAACTAAAGACAGAACAGCGAAATTCTGAGGAATTCCAGGGAGACAGAAAGCAGGTAAATTTGGATAGCTGAAGGGAGAGTTGAAAGGTGAAACGAAATGCAAGCCAAGACCCCCAGATCCTTCTGGAAGGGCCTAAAGAACATCAAGCCAGACGAATACAACACAGAGAGGAGAAGTGGGCCACAGGATTACAACCAGATTCATCTTGTTAAGGAATTATATCCCAAACTGCAGCTACACCATTTGGGCCATTCCTCCTCCTGCCAGCCCGCCAGACCCCTCCCCCAAAACAGAAACCCTCACGGGCCCTTCACTCCTAAGTGGGATTGCAGAGGGACGATCACAGACAGGGCCGAACAATACCAAGAGAAACCATGGGCATGGCCAAACCGAGAAGAACAAATAATTCAGAGACCAAGGGCAACTTCAGAAAAATCTAATTAGTGTTCCCATAAAGACCCAAGAAGTTGACATACACAAATAAGAGCAAGTTTGCATTTAAAAAGAGAAAAAAAAAAAAGAGCTCTTGCAAATAAAAACTGGGGCTGACTTCAATGTTTTAAAAAGAAGATATTTCATAATCCAATGAAACATTAAGTGTAATACAAAAAAGTTAATGTTTAGTCTAGATAATAAAATGGAAACATGTTCTACTCATCAAAACCAATTATTTAAGCCAAGCATGGTGGCATCCACCTGTAATCCCAGCTACTCAGGAGGCTGATGCAGGAGGATCACTACAGCCCAGGAGTTAAGAGACCAACCTGGGCAACATAAAGGGACTCTGTCTGAAAATAAATAAATAGATAGATAGATTATTTATTTAAGAATATAAAAGTCAAGCCACAAGTTGGAAGAAATTATTCTCAATGCATATATCTGACAAAGAACTCAGATCCAGAATACAGAGAGAACACCTATAACTCAATAATGAAAAAACACATGAACAAATATTTCACCAGAAAAGATACAGAAATGGCTAATAGCATATGAAAAGGTGTTCAGCATCATTAGTCACTAGGAAGATGCCACTTAAAAACCACACTGAGATACTACCTCATAACCCCCAGAAGGGCTAAATTAAAAAGAATGATAATTCCTACTGCTGGGCAGCTGGGGAACAGCTGACGCCTCCTCACATACTGCTGCTGGGAGTTCGAGGTGGCACCACCCTTGGAGAAGTCTTTGGCACCTGCTCTGTGTCTAGCCACTCCCCTCCCAGGAACCACCCGAGAGAGGAAAACCTAAGTCCACAAAAGATGGGCACACGGATGTTTGCAGCAGCTCCGTTCACCACAGCCCCACCTGGAAACGCCCAGATGTCTACAGGCAGGTGAATGGAAACCAACTGTGGTACACCCACCCAAATAGGAACACAGTTCAGGAACAAAAAAGGATACAGTCCTGATTCTCGGCACCACAAGCGGATGGCAAAAGCATCATGCTGAACAAAAGAAGCCAAACACAAAAGAGTTTGTCCAGTGTGACCCCATTTTGATGCGAAACTCTGGAAAAGACAGAGCTAATGTGTGGGGAATGGCATCAGAACAATAGTTGCCTCTGGGGTGGGTAGAAGTGGGAGCTGAGAGAATTTGGGAGGGGCAAAGGAAATGTTTCATGTCATAACAGAGGACATCGGTTGCACCTGTGTGTGCATTTGTCAAAGCTCAACTTGCATAGTTCTGTGTGTTTCATTATATGTAAATTACACTTCAATTTTTCAAATCTTAAAAAAAGAAAAAGTGAAAACATCCAAAGACCAAATGAGAGAAGTAGAAGAAAGGGAGAACAAGAGAGAAACATTAAGAGACATGAAAGAACCACCTGGAAGTCAAACAACTGCCTAACAGGAGTTCTAAGAATAGACATCAAAAGTATAAATAGCAAAATAGCATTTCTCTGAGCTGGAAGGGGAATGATTTAGAATAAAAGGGCCTGCCAAGGCCAGGTCAGAGAAAATGAAAAATGACCCACCTCCAGACCTGTTCCAGTGAAATTTCAGAATCCCAAGGACCAGGAGCAAGTCCTATCTGCAAAGGAACGGTCCAGACAGGCTGCGAGTCTCATCAGAGACTCTGGGTACAGGCAATGTCCTCAAAGTGCTGACTCTGAATTCTATACCCTGCCAAGCATATCAAGTTGGGTGGTCCAAACTCATTTTCAGACATGCAAGTACCCACAGTTGACTTCTCATGAACTCTAGGTGAAACAAGTTACTGGAGAAGCATTTCCACAAAACAGCACAACAAAACAGAAAGGCATGTGGCCAAGCTGACCCCCAAGGTCCCTCAGGGTGAGGGAAGCTCAGAGGGACGTGGGGGGCTGGGCTGGGCCAGCTCGCCCAGGAAGCCTTTTCTAGGCAACGGTGTTTCAGTTACAATCCCCTTTCGGTGGGCCTAGTCCTTGGTTCTAGACGAAACCCACAGACTCATCTATAGCATAAGTTATTTTTGCCAGTATTTTAGCATCAACCAACAGCAACACATAAAAGATTTCATTGTGGTTTCACAGCAAAATGTTCACATTCTGAATAAATAACAAAAAATGAGGGGTGGAGGAAAAGTACCCCGAATGTGCTACCATTTTCATTTTTCATGGCAGATGCCAGCTAAAATTGATAAATTAAAGACATGAAAATCAAAAATGGTTAACAATGGTGCCTGTTAGAGATGGGCTGGGAAGGGTTAGGAGGAGACCTTATTTTATATTCCATGCCACCAGGCTATTTTTAATCCATGTGACACATGGCTTGGTAGTCTAAAGGTCAGTTAGCATCTCCCCACTCTGAGCACCACCAGAGCCCACCTGCAGGGCCTGCTGCCACGGGCCCCACAGACAGCTCATCCAAGTCCTTGTCACTTGTCCACTGCTGGTTGGCCCCCATTACATTGGTGAGTCCAGGACAGCAGAGCCAACCCAGCCACCAGCACATCATAAACATGTGGAGTGAATTCATTCATTAATCAGTCTACCAGTATGGCTCATGGCCACCAAGAGCAGGAAGGATGCACCTGATTCCCAGGAAAAGATTTCCAAATCCTGCCAGAGTCACATCGTTCTTAAAGGTTTGGTGGGGGGGAGGGTTCTCTTCCACTCAGACATGGGAGCGTGAGGTCACTTAGCACCACTATTCCTCCTACCGGGTCCCTGGTGCTACATAAATTAGTGGCTCCCATTCCCTCATAGATGGTGAAAGTCAGTCAGATGCTAAATGAGGAAAAACATTTCTGGCCAAGCTGGGCAGCGAGGCCACAAGGGGTGCTCCGGTTGGACGGCCAGGTGGCCAGAAGATGATGCCTGGCCCTGGAGGGCCTTCCCAGCACCCCAGGGCTGCCCAGGGAAACACACCAGATGTTGCTTTGGGTGTTGGCTAAGAGGATCAGAGGTTCCTACCCCGAATGTGCCAGGGTGTCTGCAGGTGGTCCCCTCCCGAGACATCTTGGGGCCCCCTACTCTGTCAGAATAGCTCCGACGGGTGATGGCCGGAATTGCGAGGTACACACCTGCTGCCCTCAGGATTCTGCGGCATTCTCCTTTCAGATGGGGAAAAGCCCAAGAACCAACCCTTTCGAGGGGCAGAACTTCGTGGCAACCCCAGGTCCCACCAGGAGAAGGTGAGACACAACACAGGCAAAGGAGGGTGCCCAGAACCAGCAAGACCAAAGTCCTGGACACAAGTCTCCAGCTCCATGTAGTCATGATTCAAAACCAAAGAAAACCTCAAGCATCTCTGTCCAGAACTGTCCCACACAGGCAGAAGTGGCCCAGGAAGGGGGCCCCAGGTAAAGTGCTGGGCTAGGATTGGTGGGTAGTAGGCCT